TAGCCTTTGCTTTGCTGAGGTTATCTAGGCATCAGGCCATTTCAAGTCATATTTATGTTTGGTCTTCTAATTTATTTATACATTAGACAACATTTGCATTGCGACAACTTGCCACTGGACGGACGGACTATCTATACATTTCTTTTATGGCCATCTTTGGGCCAACTAGCTAAATTTATGTTCGACTCATTTGATTAATGTGTTTTGTTGACCCCAGAATTTACGAGTCACTGGCGTAACAATTTGAGGTTTGGCCCTTGGCTATTTTGGTTTTTTCTTTCTGCGTTTTTGCTGCAAAATTTATCGACTCGCTTAGTAGGTCACACTGGAGAGTGGAAAGAGAGTCGTTTTACTAATCTCTCATTAGCCACAAGAAATAAATACTTCGGGGTGTGTGTATCAAGATGGGCTTTAACTCTAGTTAAAGATAGATCCTGGAAGGAACAGTTAAATAGCCATTATGTCAGAGCAGTCGGTCTTTATTAGCTCTGCACGTGGCCATAACTGACCACAATTACGTTGGCAAATCTTTGGCAATTTTTCATATTTTCACAGCACCGAAATTCCACTCAACAGTTTGTCAACACAACAGCAACCAACCCAACCCAACGCAACCCTGTGTCCTGTCCTCTTGGCCATAATGTCGAGCTTTTATTAATTTCAATTTGTGTCAACATCAACGCCAAATATGCAGGGCCAAGGGGGGGATGATTTAAGCCAGCTGATGACAAAATGTTTGGCCATTAGGCGTATTAAAGCGCAGTCGTGGTCGAGGTCCCTCCCTACATGTCACCCGTCCCATTTTTTGGGGGCTAACTTTCAGTGGCTTTGCTGTAGGAGATCAGTTCATAAAATGGTAGCAAACATACGCAGGAAAACACTATAAAAACCATGATTGATGTGCTCGGCTTGACCCAAATGCATGTTTTTATGCCAAAATAATACGCTCTTGTATCCTGCCAGCTCAAGTATCCTTCTTGGGTTTGTATATATATGAATATTTATCACCATGGCGATGATTACACTACACGGCTGGGTTTAAAGAGTTGTGTGTTGAGTGGGTTTTTGTCAACAGTATGCTATAGTGTTGTGTTTTACAGAGTTCAGAATGAAAATTCTTTAAAACTAAGTAAATAATATTCTTAAAGAATTTGTTTATTAAATTATCTTTTCTTTCTCCTTTTATTAAAAAAATATTTTTCTAATAAATATTAACAGCTTCTTGATGTTAAAAGTGTCATCTTTTCAAGCCAAAATCTTGCTAAGCTGTGTAAGGATATATATACATCCGTTTCTGCCTCTCAACTTACCCAAGTTCGTTGACCTGGCTTGCTAAAAGTTTCTCTTAATGCTTATTATCTGACCATTTGCTGGCTGAGCACGCTGCGTATACGTAATATAGAATTTAATTTTACTTTATGCAACTTCTACGGAGCCAAGGCACTCAAGCACTATGTAATCGCTATTAATGAATGCCCTGAAAAGTGCTAAGAGAAACGAAAACAAACAAACAAACGAATAAACAGGCAAACAAAACACATTCCACACACACACAACACAACTGGAACTACACACATAAAAACTTAAGCTGGCAAAACAAAACGAAAAATATAAGAAAAACAACAATGGTGGCCGAGTGCCATGTGCTCCGTGTCCTTAGCCCGGGATGCTTTTTAAATATGAGCAACGAAAATAAAAGTTTATTAAGCTTATGGCCAAACGTGGTATGATGGACTTTTAAGTGTCCTATAAAATCAGCGAATTTGCCATGTTTTTTCGAGGTCAAAGGAAACATAAAACTTGGACAAGAAACTGATTAAATAAAGAAGAAATTAGGCTGGAAATATTACAACTGTAATTTAAGGATTAGTTAAAGAAAGGTCAAACGAATTTAAACAATTATTTATGGAGTTTAAGTAGTAATTTAAATAGTAATTATACTTAACTAATATTTTCTACGATACCAAGCAAGGCATTTAATTTTAAATCTAATTTAGATTTTAATTAAACTGTGATATATTTATTCCTATTATTTCTCGCCATATAAATATTGGTATATAAATTCCCCTGTAGAACACCCTTTAAACCGTATTTTTACAGCCACAATCTGAAAAGAAACATTGACTCCACCCAACACGCCTTTCTGTGCCTTTCTCGGCCACAAGGACTGGTCTGATTTACAGCTCAGCTGCAGCTGCAGGGCAAATGCTCAGGAAAAAGCGCTCTTTTTTTGCAAAATGAAATTAATTTCCCATTGCCTTTTGTTGGTGGCCAACCATTTGTCTTTGTTGCTGCATTTTACGATTCGCGGCCAGCAGTGGAAATTTGTCAGTAGGAGAAGGACTCACAGCACTGTGCGGCTTAAAGCCACGACAAGCCCCAAAGCCGCACAAAGTGCACTTAAAGCCACATTTCACAATGGGCCAAGGGTATATGGGGTGAAAGCGGATGCGGAAAAGGACGCCTTGCTGGCGGTGCGCGTGGAACTCGAGGGCCAAGTGGCTGCTATTGTTATGGCTGTCCCACTTAATAATCAGACATAATAGTTGGCGGCAGATAAAGTTGCTCTGGGGCTCAACAGGTGCTGGAATTGCCTTTTAATGAGGATTTACGGTTCGGCACAGCCCCAGCCCCTTCCCTCTGCGGTTCTATCAGTGCTTTCCTTTGGCCCAACTCTTTTTTTTCTTGCTGAAATTAAATTTCGCACTTTTAATGTTCTCCCTTGGCAAAAAAGCAATTTCCTCGAGGTGCAAAGCCAAATTGAAAAAGGCATAATGACTTGCCAAAAAAAAAGGGCAAACCCCTACACACACGCCAGTAAATAAGGGTAAGAAAAAAGCAACCAGAAATGGTCGATCATTAAAAAAGGCTTACAGTGTGCCATTTATTACATTTTTATTGCGTCCCCAGCAGGGGAGATAATAAAAATCTATAAAAATCTAAAAGTGACTAAAAGAAATCTTTAAAAAGTTTTATTATAAAAAGTCTTCGGTAAAATGTAATTCAAGGTTGCTAGTTTTTCTGAATTAATATATATATTTGTATTTTTCTATGAGGAATTTCATTGTGTTCATTTATTAAAATTGATAAAAAACATATTAAAATCTTTAAAGTGTAAATAAAAACCATTTGCTTTATAAATAAATCCCTTTACTCTCCACTCGACTTTAAATCGCTTTAAAAGCCACTCATAAAAACCACAGGGCACACTCTTAAAATAGCAATGGATACAATTTCGCTCTCGTTGAGTGTAAAATATATATGAAACTGTTAAGTCAAATATTTTGCCAACACTTCCCCACAAAAGGCATAAAAAAAAAAACACACAAAAAACGTGCGAAAAAAACGGCGTCTAATAAAAATTAAAGCTGAGCCAACATCAAATGGGAAAAAGTTTTCCAAAGAGCGAAAAGTTCTGACTGGCTCCAAACGGGTATAGATATACTCGGTACTTTGTGAAAAGTCATGCTGGAAAATTGCACTTGAACGCTGGCGAATGGAAGGAAAACCAAACACCTTGCGACACCGAGCCGAGAAAGGCTTTAAGGGAAACTTGCCGAGTCAGTTTCTGGCGGGAAGAATCAAATCAAAGCTTAGGGAAAATATTTGCAGTTAACAAATGAAGGCAGACACAGACACAGCCACATCCCTATTTAATAATAAACGCGACACCGGCGAATAATGAAAAACGGGGCAGACAGGATGTGCCAAGAATGAGTAAAAATAGCCGCCGTTTTGCTCATTTGTTGATTTATGCGCCAATTTGCGCAACATGATGAACTGGCAGACAGCAAAGCGGTCCAAGTCCCCAGTACAGGCTCCTCCGAGTCTTCGGAATGAGATATATCTCTCTCTTTTCATATACTATATATAGTGTGTATATATTTGGGAGTCGCACTTAGGCCCACAAAAAGAACAAGAACTGCAAGTATGGGCCGCAAAAAAGTTGTAGCATAAGCTGAGGCGCCTGTGGTCTGAGCACACTTCCAAGGACGAAGGATGAAGCCTGTCAAGTTTTTTTTCTCTGCTGCTTCTTTTTCGGGACAAGTTTACGCTGCTCGCCCTTAAGGCGTCGATGCGGAGCGTTGGCGTCAGACTGCACACAGACCCGAGGCCATAATTCAAACTCACCTTCACTCGAAGCGAGTCCTGGAATCCTGCGAGACGCGTTGAAAGACGAATTTAATTTGCTGCAAAAACATACAACTTCCCAGGGGATGTGTGCCTGGAGGAGGAAGTGGGTTTGGGGTCCAGCCTGCAGTATCATTATCGGTAACATTAGCGGGGTATGCTCAATATCACTCAGAAATTAATATAACACACTTTTTTTTTATAAATAGAATGACAGTTTCTTGAATTTTTACTGTCATTTTTATACTGAGAGAAATATGGAAACTCTTTTAAGTTCAAAGTTAAGTTCTTCAAAGTTCTAAAAATATTTATTACAATTCTCAGGTTTGAATTTAATATTGTTTAAAACTCTTTTTGAGTTTAGGATAAATAATAATTAAATCAAAAATTAAATTAACCTTTGTAACCACCTTTTTGCGAGTGCAGGTCCTCAATCTTGGCAGCAATTTCCTGCAGGAATAACGTTTGCTGTCTGCCCTACCGACATGGCTGTGTGGGTGTTGGCCGTGTTGTCCTAGTCTTGTTAGTACTGAGCTGGAAAGAAGCAAACTTCCGCTGGCACATCCTGTCGGCCGCCCCTTTCCGCTCTCCGCTCTCCTCTCTCCCATCTCCCCTCTCCCCTCTCCCCTCTCCCCTCTCCCCTCTCCCCTATCTTGACTTCATAGCTCTATTATTTTTATGGCTATTTAAAGAGCCATAAACATCGTGGAAGTGTGTGTCAGTGTGTGAGAGTGTGTGTTTTGGGAGCATTAAATTGAGTTTTATGCGTGATTTCCGTTCTTAACACTTTGTTGACAATGAATTTTATAGGCGCTTAATGAAATGTGACCACATACCCAACCTGTCTCTCTCTCTCTCGCTTCTTGCAGACGGAACAGTTTGCCGTGCTGTGGATTCTATTCACTGTCATTGTCCTAGGAAACTCGGCGGTCCTGTTCGTGATGTTCATCAACAAGAACCGCAAGTCGCGGATGAACTATTTCATCAAGCAGTTGGCCCTGGCAGGTAAGTCATGGTTAGGCGCTTCTGCTTTAATTTTTAGCTTAATCTTTAACAAATCCTTAAAGATCTCTTTGTGGGCCTACTCAACGTGCTGACGGACATCATTTGGCGCATCACGATTTCGTGGCGAGCGGGCAATCTGGCCTGCAAGGTCATACGCTTCTCACAGGTGTGCGTCACATACTCCTCCACCTACGTCCTGGTGGCCATGAGCATCGACAGATACGACGCCATCACACATCCCATGAACTTCTCAAAGTCGTGTAAGTCGCAAAGTCGAAAAGTCGAGTGCAAAGTTTTCTCATTGGCAAATGTTGTTAGCCAAAGCGCTATTTAGTGTTTGCTGGGATTAAATGTCCAAGAATTTTAGAAATTTTTAAAATAATCTTAGTGCAATTTTTTGAAATAAAAAAATTACAGAAAACTTAGAAATACTTCCCACAAATTTTCTATATTTTCGGTTTTAATTCTCTCCCTTTAGGGAAAAGAGCTCGTCACCTGGTGGCCGGTGCTTGGCTCATCTCAGCTTTGTTCTCTCTGCCCATCTTGGTTTTGTACGAGGAGAAGCTTATCCAGGGCCATCCGCAGTGCTGGATTGAGCTGGGTTCACCCATGGCCTGGCAGGTATACATGAGCCTGGTCTCGGCCACTTTGTTTGCAGTGCCCGCCCTGATCATCTCCGCCTGCTATGCGATCATAGTAAAGACTATATGGGCCAAGGGCTCCATATTTGTGCCCACAGGTAAGTTGGAAAAATAATTAACAAATATCATTTTAAATTACATTTTTTATTTAATTTTTAGAGCGAGCTGGCTTTGGTGCTGCTCCGGCGAGACGTGCCAGTTCCCGAGGCATTATACCTCGGGCCAAGGTCAAAACGGTGAAGATGACACTGACCATTGTGTTTGTGTTCATCATCTGCTGGTCGCCCTATATTATCTTCGATCTCCTGCAGGTCTTTGGCCAGATTCCGCACTCGCAAACCAACATAGCCATAGCCACATTCATTCAAAGTTTGGCTCCGCTGAATTCGGCCGCCAATCCCCTTATATATTGTCTCTTCTCCTCGCAGGTCTTCAGGACACTGAGGTTAGTTGAAAAGTATTTAAAAATAAAAATTAAATATTTTAAATATGTAATTTATGTAATAAGTAAACAATTATTTAGTTAGAAATTTAATAACAATTTGTTGTATTTAAATTTTGCATTTGTTTTTCCTTTCCAGTCGCTTTCCGCCCTTCAAGTGGTTCACCTGCTGTTGCAAGTCGTACCGCAACAACTCGCAGCAGAATCGCTGCCACACGGTGGGTCGAAGGCTCCACAACAGCTGCGACTCGATGAGGACACTAACCACTTCGCTGACAGTCAGCCGAAGGTCCACCAACAAGACCAATGCCCGTGTGGTCATCTGCGAACGGCCCAGCAAAGTGGTCACCGTGCCGGCCATGTCCGAGGTATGATAGCTGGCCCACACCAGCCGCAAGCCCTCGCGGTTTGCGGTCCACGGGCCCACGTCCTTCAGCGATGCGGAGTTCCTCTAAGTAAAAGGAGATCTCCTTGCGGCGAATACGCATCAGAGGCTTAGACAATAAGTTCGATAGTAAGTAGGGGGCATAGCTAGTCGATAGTTGTAAGTGTGCCAAGTCTACGCTACGAATTTCCAAACCTATTTGCAATCTATGCTTAAGTGAGTATTTATTCAATATACTGGCATTTGTATGACTTTTAAATAAGACTAAGAAAAATCAAAAGAAAAGTAAAGAATCTACAGATGGAGTTGGCAAATGTATCTCTAGGGTGTCACAGAAATTGAACTCGTCTTAAAAACACTTCAAATATGGTTTTAATATATAATTTTTAAAGGAGAATGTGATAAAAGAAATTAGTTGAAAACATTTTTAGATTACCTGAATGAATTAATATAAATTTCTTAATATTTATTTTCCATTATATATAATCTCTACTTCAGGATTAAAAATATATAAACAATACCAGAGACTCTTATACATTTTTTAAAGATTTTTTAGCCTCTCATTGAAATCATAATAATTAGAGTTTTTTGTGACTCCTAAGAGTGTGTGTTGTTCGGTTTCAGTCTTCTCAAAAGCTAATTTCCAACCTCTCCTATTTGTAATCTACTCATCAGACTGATCTAATTTGTGTGTGTGGCCATTTAGAGAAAATTTAAAACATATTTCTCACCAGTGTCCCAAGTAGCTGTTAAGGCCATTAAAATTCCAACTCATCCGTGTGTATATATAGTATATTTATATAGCCACTCGTAATGGTGGATAAACTTGTCCAAGCATCTTAAACCAAAACCTATTAGGCATAAGTAGACCATAAGAGTTAATAGAGCATAACGTTTTAGTCAATTTGGTTTAAGCTAATATTTATTTCATAATTATGTGTAGAGAGCAGAATAAAGGCAGCGGCGAATTCTCGAGCGTCTCTCGCATTTTCATTCATTTTCTCGGCACGCGCTGGAAAATCCTCCTTTATTTTCGCCCCAATGAACAATGGGGGCGCAAGGAGACAAGGACAAACGCTCTCACTTTCCTTATAATTGTTGCGATGATGTGGTATTTGTCTGTGGCCTCCGCTGACGTCACTGATGGAAAGTGAAAAGTGAAAAGTCAACATGGGGCAGATAAATTGAGCGACAAAACCCAGCAGACAATGAAAACATATTGGTTTCTGTGGGTCCTGCAAACAACCAACGGGTATTCCATTTATTGCTATTGTTATTATTATTATTATTGTCTGTGAAATGGTAAATTTACCATGCAAACCTCGGCGAATCTGTTTATGTTTGCCTCATGACTGACTGGGCTTCACCCCCTTGGCAAATTTGCATTCTCCACTTCCTGATGTTTAATCGCATGAGTAAACATCCCGACGGCCGATGGAAACTATGGCAACTGGTTGTGGGACCTGGGACCAGCCAGCACTCGAATAAATTTCCCGGTGAGACAGACGAGAGAAGTGGAAAAATATTTTCCGCCACAGGACATTCGCTTCATTTGGCACGGCAGGGCAAGGACGAAGAAAAATCCATTAAGCAGCTTACTTCAGGCGGCGCATTGTGGAAATTGTTTGCAATTATGATTTGGTAAATTATTTGCGAACTTTTAATTGAAAAGCTATTAGCAAATTGGTAAACAAAGAAGAATTCTTAAACAATTGTTTTAGTCCTTGAAAAATTCACAACGTTCCGCTTTATTTGCTGAAGAAATGAATCATATCAAAGCTCATGAAAAGCCTAAAAGTTTTTCTGAACAAAAATATATATAGAAGTAATTCATGGAGCTTCAAAATTAAAGGCCAAACAACTAATAATAGCTGATTAATCCTCCTATATAGTTTTTAATCAATCTACAATTTGAAAAACCGTCAAAAAAAATCATGATTCCAAATTACATCTTTACAAAATCGTCCAATGAATTCGAACACAATGTTCTAAGAAGGAACTATAAGGGTCAGGACAGTATCCCTCCGCGCAGCAGTGGTCGGCTTATGAATACGGGGCAAAACAAGTCAAAATTTAAGAGCGTGGATCCCGGCCTAAGGCGCCCAGCACAACAGTACAAAAGGGGTACTCGTAACGCTGATACCGCCACCAAGGATCCCTTTACGCGTAACGTGGGCTTTCGTCTTGAAGCTGGGAAAATAGCCGGAAACGTTAAGCCACAGATCCTAGGAGTTTTTAAGACAGACTCTGCTGCCCAAACATTACACATGCAGACCGATCCCAGTCACAAAGCGCAATGCGACCTGCAGGAGTCCTTCACCGACTTTTTCAGCATTATCCACGACAATGTTATAGAGTCGGTAAAGAATGCCGTGCGAGAAACAGTGGCCAAATGTTTTGAGCAGTCCATGACCAAAATAGAGCTGCTGACCCAGGAGATACGTAACCAGGAGGCGCTGATCAACAAAGTCCATCGTGATTTAACGAGTAGTAAGTGTTTACCTTAAGAAATTTTAAGCTAACTTTTCTTTTATATTATTAATATATATCTCCTGCTTAGAAAATGCTAGGTAACTTGTTAATAAAACCTCTTTTTAAACTTTTTACTAGTCAACCTCCACTTTTAAGTTAAAGAAGAATTCTTAAAATTTCTTAAAGATTTTGAAAATGTTCCTTATGCTACTTTAATTCCCACTGAAACCGTTTCCCCCTAGAAATGGCTGCTCAGAGCGAGACCAACTTGAACCAGTTCAAGTTCCTAACTCAAATGCTCATCGACAACCAGACCGTTCACTACAGGGCCCTCAATCAGGCGAAACAGAACAGGCAGCGTCGTTTGGAGGAACGCGAACTGGAGAGGGAGCAAAAGCTGGAGCGGGAACGGAAGCGTTCCGTAGGCACCATTAAGGGCGGAAACTGTAGCCCTGATCTCTCAAAAAGATGCACAGGTGGCGACAGCAAGAAAGCCCAGTCCCGAGTTCCCCAGCACAAGCTGTCCCAGCAGCAACAGCCGTTAGTCTATCAGATGTGCAAGAGAAATACTCCCCAAATGAAAAAGGAATCCATTTCGAACAGCATGCCGAATCTTTCGGGATATCCATCAAAAGCTGCGGCGGGGGTCATCAAGCGCCCTGGATCACGTCCTTCCGGCAACAAGGGATCCGATCGGGAAGTATGTATCCCAGCCATGACTTATCCAGCCTGTACAATGCCTCGGCGAAGGTTCTATCAAACCGTTCAATCCATACTCAATCAAGTGAATGACACGAAAAAATAATAGTCTTAAATTAAACGCTAAGGGTTTTCCATGTCTGTTAGTTCTATGACATGGAAACATTCGATGTCCTTGCCATGTCATAGAACTGACATTCATGGAAAACTTGTACAAATTATAGAAAATCTTTGTGTAAAAACAAAAAATGAAAATAATTTTAATAAAGCAAAAATGTTTTGTAATAAGGTATATAGTAAACTTTGACTTTATTCATTTATTATAAAGTAAATCATAGCATTAGTAATAAAGAGCCTCAATTTAAATAATAATAAAGGAGTCATTATAACAAAGCTTTAAAGTTCGGATAAACACAATTAAAATAATAATATTTAAATGCAAGAAATAGGAACATTGTGAACAACATTAAAATATATGAAATCTGTGGATTAAGGCTGATATTCCGACATAAACCTAGTCAGAACTCTCGCTAAGCTTCGGTGCCTCTGGTTTTTTAAGCTCAACGGTCTCGTAATACTGATTCTTTCGCAAATAACGCTGGACAAATGGGGCCAATAGGTTCTCATCCACATTCCGGATATCCTGACGTCCAAATACCAAGGTGGCCAAGTTGGAAAGAATAATGGTTAGCGAGGCACCCAACATGGCGTACAATAAGAAGGACATGTGATACACCGAAGAACCGCTGTGGGGTTCGCTAAAGATAAAAATGTTAGATAATTATAAAGTTACAAAGTCATTAAAAACAGCATAAAAATACTTACTATTCCGCTGTGGAATTCAGGTAGCGACTCATATCAAATTCATAGTCACACTGCTCAACGGAAACGGGCAGCTTGGTGTGCCGAAAGGATCCGGTTATATTGGCTATTTGAGCATTCACCGCTATCCAGGCCATGGTCATAAACGAGGCAATGCTGCCCAGGAAAACGCACTATAATTCGGTAATTAAAAACATGATTTTGATTATTATTTATTATATAGAATCCTACAGTAAGCCTTTACTCACCTTTTCGCCCACCCAAGGCATCAGCATGCCCACCGTAAATATCCCCAACATCGGGCCATACAGGCTCGACTGGAGCGTGGCCGACAGCTGCAGGACCATGCCCAGTTTCTCCACCACATAGACCATAAAAATCGAGCTGATGCCAAAGGTTACCACCACCAGGCGCATGGTAAGAGCAATATGATTCTCCTTCATTGCCTTTCCCATTCGCGGGCGCACAAAGTCCTCCAGGATTACGGCGGCCAGGGAGTTAAGGAGCGTGGATAAGGAGCTCAGCGCGGCACTAAACACAGCCGAAACGAACAAGCCTGGCAGTCCAGGAACCACGCCCAGGACACGCATCACCAGCAGGGGAACCAACTGATCCCGGCGGCCAGCCAGCTAGGGATTTATATTTTACAATGTATTTTATTATATGAAATATTTCGAAAGAACTTACCCCCGTAGACATGGGATCGCAGTCGTAGTAGGTGGCATAGCACACCAAACCCACATACACACAGCCGCAGTAGAGAAGGACTAACCCAATGGAGAAGGTAAATAGAGTCTGTTTGATGGCCTTCAGTGTTGGCAAGGACATAAACCGCTGGACTGTGGCCTGGTTGATCGAAGTACTCTGCAGCTTGAAGAAGGTTCCACCCACAAAGACAGAGAACACGCTCAGCCGCACAGTGGGATCCATGGTCCACCTAGGTTTAAAAAAACAAAATCTTTAAGAAATGTATCTCAAAACTTATATATTTTAAACCTACTCAGGTGTGTTGAGGCGTCCACCTTCCATGTTACGCTGCCACACCACCCCAAAGCCACCCAAGTCCACAGTGCCCTTGATCATGATTACTATGAGGGAGCCGTACATGATAACGCTCTGAACCACATCTGTATACACCACTCCCTTGATGCCGCCCACGCAGGTGTAGAAGGTGCAAATGATGATCACTATGGGCGTGATGGTGTGAATTCCTATGCCAGATACTTGGTTGAAGGTCAAAGCCGGCACATAGACCGCTATGGGAAGCCAAATGATCTGAGGAAACAATAAATATAATAATAATTATAAATAAAACATAATCTTGAACTCTTGAATCTTGAAACTCACCGCTTTTAGGACAAACAGACTGGCTCCGAACAAACGCATTCGCCGGCTGAAACGTCTCTCAAAGTACTGAAAGAATGAGTGTGTATAAGTAGGGATTCTTCAAAGAACGCTGATCATATAGGACAGACCCAGTTGAAGGTTTCATTTACAGGTAAGCTAAAAAAGTCAAGCTTATGCATTCGGTTAAGATTAGGTACAAGACAATGCTTAAAGCTAAGAAGAAACTACAGGTATTTGGGTTGTATATACAGGTTAAATATATTTATAGGATTGAGATTATTATGATTATCCTTAGGACTTTTCGTCCTGCTCCAGTTTGGGCAACGTTTTCGATTCGTGTAGGGCCAATTCTGCCTTCTCATCGCTGGCCACACTCTCGTATTGGCCGTACCAATATTTCCTTAAGACCGGACTTATCAGTTCCTTGTCCACCACACGGGGATCTTGTCGACCAAAGTACAGGGTAGCCAGCAGGGATCCAAGGACAGTGCCCAGGGAACCGACTGTGGTGTACCACAAAAATGAGATCTCATGGATGCCGTGGTTAGTTGACTCCATCGGAGTTCTATATGAAAATAATAGAAATATTGGAATGGAAATTAGATATATATAGCTAATAGTGATCACTTGGAACAATTACATACGCCGTAGTGGTGGCATTCCAGTTGGCGGGCAGGTCAAAGGAGTAGTCGCATTCCTCCACTGAAACAGGCTTCGTGGGAAAGGTCAGAGATCCTGTGAAAATGGCTATTTGAGCCCGCACCACAATGTAGGCAGTGAAGCTCGAGGCCACCGAAATGCCCGCGAGGAGGCTCTATAAAAAATATTATATTAAATTATATAAATATTATATATTATTTTAAGCCAAACCTCAGTCTTTACAAAAGGCAGCAGCATGCCCACACTGAAGGCACCCAGCAGAGGACCACAGGTAATGGCCGCCACCGTGGAGGATAGCTGCATGACCAGGCCGAGTCTTTGAACAATCGGCACACTGGCCATCGAGATCAGACCAAAGGCTATGACTACGCCACGCAGCACATATGCTGTTTGTCGCTCAGTCAGGGGCTTCTTACGGAAAGGTTCCACAAAGTCCGTAAGGATCACACCAGACAGGGCATTCAGGGCCGTCGACAGGGAGCTCAGGGCGGCGCTGAAGACACCGGCTACAAAGAGGCCAACCAGACCGGGAATATGGCCCACACTTTTGACCACATACAAGGGTATCACCTGATCTTTGGCACGAGCTAACTGTAGAAAATAAAAAATATATATTTATATTTAAAAACTTATAATGAAAATAGATACTTACGCCCGTTGTGATGGGATCGCAGTGATAGAACTCAGCAAAGGCCAGCATGCCTATATAGACACACATCAGCAGGACTATCATGAAACCAATTAAGGACCAAATCAGAGCCTGTTTCACGGCCTTGTTGTTGGGCAGAGTGAGATATCGCTGGACAATGGCCTGGTTAATGCCATTGGCCTGGAGTTTAAAGAAGGCGCCACCAATAAACAAGGCAAAGACACCCATTCGTACTGTGGGATCGAAGGTCATGCTGGAATATATAATTATTTATAGCTAAAAATTATTAATTTTTTGAAATAAATATTTACTCTGGAGCCACTAGGCGGCCATACTGACGATTGTGATCCAGGACCACACTTAATCCTCCCAAATCCGAGGTGCCTTTGACAATGACTATGGCCATAGAGCCAACCATTACTATGCCCTGAATGACATCTGTCCAAACAACGCCTTTAATACCGCCCTTAAGAGGAAAATTAATAAATTAAGAATAAAAATAAATAATAAATAAAGTATTTTTAAATACTTACCACACTGGTATACAAAATGCAAACAAAACTGGTCAGGGGAACAATGGTGCTGACACTTATGCCAGAAACTATTGAAGAAACATTAAACTCATTAAACCTTTTAACAATAAAGTCAAGATATTTTTACTCACCTTGATTGAGTGTTAAAGCTGGCACGTAAATACAAATAGGTTGCCATAAAATCTAATAAATATATTTAATTATTATATTATTTTTTCAGTTATTAAACAAACTCACATTCATCACCACAAACAGGCAGGATCCAAATATGCGAACTCGTCGATCAAAGCGTCTCTCGAAATACTGCGATGAGATTAAACAAAAACAAGAACAAAGAGTTTATAGGATGCATGGTTATGTACAGGATGCGCTGGATAAATGAGACATGCTAGGACACCACACCAACAACACACCACAATCAATAAAAAGCATTTACACAGAACAAAAAAGAAACACATTTTTTATTTAAACAATTTAAGAAGCACTTTGAGCTTCAGTTTCGGCTTTGCGTTTAAAAAGATCCTGCAGGTTGACAGCCTCGTAGTTCTTGTTGGGCAGGAAGCGTCTCATGCAGGGCGTGATCAAAGCGGGATCCATTTTATTAAGATCCTCCCAGCCGAAAACCAAGCTAGCCAGAAGGGAGACCGCAGTACAGATAACACCACCGAGGGCAGTGTACCAAAAGAAGGATAAATGATAGAGGTTACGCTCCGAGGGCCTAGAAAAGTAATACTTGATGTATGTTTCCAAGACCAAACCCACACGCCATACTTACCTGTAGCTATGGATGGTCTCCTGGACGGTGACATTATCAAAGGCATAGTCACAGCCATCTACGGAAACGGGCAACTTGGGATAACGAATCTCTCCATTCATTTGAGCCAACTGAGCCTTTACACAGATCCAGGCCAATGCCAGAAAGGACACAAGGCTGCCCACCAATACGCTCTATTAGGAATATAATTTATATTTATAATTTAATTTGAAAAGCTAACAACTCACCTTTCCCTTGACCCAAGGCAGGCCCACGCCCATGGCATAAATGCCCAGCAGTGGACCCATTGACACAGCCGCTGTGGTGGTGGCCAAGGGAACCACCATTCCCAGCTTCTCCACGATGTTGACCAAGCCAATACAAGAGAATCCGCAGACCACGACTATAGCCCTAAGCCAGAAGGCGGTCTGGCGTTCCGTCAAGGGCTTCCTCAGCAAGGGTCTCACAATATCCTGAGTAATCACACATGCCAAGGAATTTAGGCCCGTGGAAAGCGAGCTCAGGGCAGCACTAAAAACGCCAGCTACAAAGAGTCCCGGCAAACCCGGCAGGGAACCCAAAGTGCGCATCATTAACAAAGATGGCAACTGATCACTGGCAGCAGCCAACTTTAAAGGCGAAAAAATCGCAATAAATATTTGATTAAAGTCTAGATTTTACCTCTTATTTACCTTAGTACTTATGGGATCACAGTCATGGTAAACAGCGTAGGACACCAGACCCATATAGTTGCAGCAGCTCAGGAGAAAAATTAGGAGCAAAGTAAAGATGAACATGCACCGCTTGGCATGGTCATAGCTGGGCAGGGAAAGAAACCTCTGTATGGACACTTGGTTGACATCCGAGGACTGTATCTTGTGCAAGGTGCCGCCCACAATGACAGACAACATGGATAGACGCACCGTGGGATCCCAGGTCCATCTGGAATAGCAATTATCAGCCTTAATTAATCATGCCCAAGGTCAAGAGACTCACTCCGGCATATTCAGACGGCCGCCGTCTTCATTGCGCTGCAGGACCACGCCCAGACCGCCCACATCGAAGGTGCCCTTGATGCAGACCGCCAAAATGGAACCGAACATTACGAAGCTCTGGATGACATCTGTCCAGACCACGGCCTTCAGTCCGCCCTGAAATGGCAACGTCTTCGAGTTGTCGAGTTCTCTCGGGTTGGCAGAAAATTTAATTAAGCCTCACCACACACGTGTAGAAGGTGCAAATAGTGCAGACAATGGGCGTAATCACATGGATGCCAGTGCCGGTCACTGAAAGCTCAAAATGCAAGGTAAATGCGAATATATTTGCATGTATGCACTCGAGAAAAATAAGTGGGTTAATAAGGAAATAATAACATTAAAATAATAGATAAATATTATATTTATTATCAATTATTAGCACTTATTAACCAACTTGGATTATGTTTACAAACTAAGTCAACATTTATTTGTAATTTTAAGAACAAGAGCCTGCTAATTTCTCTCATTGCTAGTTAATACGAATTCTTGTTGCGCTTAAACCAAAATCAAACTCACCCTGATTATAGGTGATGGCCGGCACATAAAGACACACTGGCAGCCAGACCATCTGTGGGAGAAAATAGAACCAGAGGAAATTCAAAGGGTTTAACCATAAATTAAGGATTGTAATACTTACGGTTCCAACGATGAAGAGAACGGAGCCCAAATTGCGTATGCCAGCCCCATAGCGCAATTGGAAGTACTGAAGGTTTAAGGTTTTCAGATTAGATTTAACACATTTTAGAGGCAGAAATACTTAGACAAAATATGATTTCATGCTGGGATATTTACAGGTCCTAAAATTAAAGCTAACTGTGCGGGAAAAAAAACTGAAAAGTGTGTCTTAAGGAAACATTTTATTGGCAACTACATGTGAATGGGACTAGTTTCTAGGATTTCTCATTTGGGACCTTAAAGGTGGTCTCTTCCAGCTTTACGCTGGAGTAGTTTGTCTTCTGGAACCTGCGAATGCAGGGCGAGAGCAAGTCAATGTCCACATCCTCGGGTTTGTTTCGCCCAAAGATAAACCCTGCCAGATGGGCGGTGACCACACCCACTGTGGCTCCTATCGAGCTGTACAACATGAAGGATACGTTGTAGAGCTGCTGGGCGAAGGTCAGGGACCTGTGGGGAATAACCCTAGGCGGTGAGTGGTTACTATATGGATCATGATCTTGGCGGGACTTACGCAGACTGCGAGGACATGGCAGACGTGGCATTGGCAGGTGTCATTAAAGGATGCTCGAACTCGTAGTCACAGCCTTCCACGCTGACTGGCTTGCTCTCGAACTGGATTTCCCCAGAGTTAATGGCCAGTTGCGCCGACAGGCAAAGCCAGCCCATGAAGAAGAAGGAGCAAAGTGATCCCACAATGGCGCTCTTTAAAGAAATCAATTAAGTTGCGAGTCTCTTTCTGGAGATGGGTTGACTAACCCTGGACTTGATGCTCGGGCACAGCAGGCCCATGACAAAGAGACCCAGCAACGGACCCTGGACCACCGAACCAATGGTCATGGACAGTTGCATCACATGGGAACCCATTCGCTCGACCACGAATACGAGGGCCACGCTCAGGACTCCAATGATCACCGTGCAGAGTCGCATAATGATGGCTGTTTGATGTTCTGTGAGTGGTTTCCTCGCCAGTGGCCTTATGTAATCTTCCAAGAAAACGGCAGCCAGGGAATTCATACCCGTGGACAGGGAACTGAGAGCAGCACTAAAGACTCCGGCCACAAACATGCCGGGCACGCCGGGAAAGGAGCTCAGGGATTGCACCACCAGCAGGGGAACCAACTGATCCTTGGCCACAGCCAACTAAAATGTATTTCAGAGTTAAAACAAGTTAACTTTATGGATTAAGTTTTGGCAAACCTTGGTGGTCAAGGGGTCACAGTCGTAGTAGGTTGCGTAGAGCAGCAGTCCGTTGTACATACATATAGCCATTAGAGCCACAAGGCCAAAGATGAAGATGAACGAGGTCTGGGCCATCTCCTTGATGCCGGGCAGAGACAGGTAACGCTGTGTGATGATCTGGTTGCAGCCCAGGTTATAGGCATTGTGCGCCAGGTTGCCCGCTAGCATAGCCGTCATGGACATTCGCACCTTGGGATCGAGCGTCAATCTGCATTGAAAATGTCAAAGATCAGGCAATAGTCCCACCCTAGATAACCCTTTTGCACCTACTCGGGCCACTCGAGGCGTCCGCTGTCAAAGTTCCGCTGAATAACCACGCCCAGCCCGCCCACATCCATGGTGCCCTTGATAATGACAAAGAATATGGCTCCCACCATAATAACGGTCTGGATGACATCCGTCCAAACAACGGCCTTCAGGCCACCAACGGTGGTGTAGAAAATGCAGACGAGGCACACGATGGGCGTGATGACATGGATATTAATGCCAGTAACTGGAAAGGTAATAGTAAAGGTCAACAGGAACTCTAAGTTTGCGACTTAATTCAAAACATTAGAAGGTCTAAATATGGCTTAATACATTGTCAAAAACCCGTCTTATGAGAATGATTTTTATACAATATAAAATGAAACTATATACATTTACTTACTCTTTACTGGGTGTAAGATATTGCTATACATGATGCATGGTGTTTCATTACATAACTTTAGGTCTGTGCTGTGTTGTTTAAAAGAAATTCAAGTGCAAATAAAAATATAACAACATAAAATTAATGATACAAACAATTTATGGCCTAAAAATGAATTTTATTGAGCCTAGTCTCGATTACGAATTTAATTCTCCTAAGAAACTCAAGCATAAGTACATCTCAATTTAAACATTAAAACATCAGATAATTGATGGTTTTTAAATCTTGAAGGCACAGCCTTAACCTAAGACTTATCGGTGGCTTCCTTAAGGGTATTCTCGTCCAGGCTGACGCTGGAATAGTTCGACTTCTGGTGTTTTCGCATGCAGGGCGAGAGCAGCTCGGGATCCACTGAACCGTCCTTATTTCGGCCAAAGAAACAACCGGCCAGATGTGCGGTTCCCACGGCCACCCAGCCCCCCATGACGGTGTAGAACATGAAGGAGATGTGATAGAGCTGTTCCGCGAAACTAAGAGACCTGTGGGAGGGGGTTTTTGGCACATGAGAAAAGACAAACAGACAGACAGTGGCGGGCTCTGGCTAACTTACGCTGACTCTGCACTCGAAATGGTGGCATTGGCTGGCGTCACCAGGGAACGATCGAACTCGTAGTCGCAGCCATCCACGCTAACCGGCTTTACGTCGGCCTGAATCTCCCCAGAGTTAATGGCCAATTGGGCCGAAAGACTCAGCCAGCCCATGAAGAAGAACGAGACCAGAGATCCCGCAATGGCACTCTTAAATCAAACAAAAAACATGCATTTTTAGTGAAGAGCGGAAGGACACTAAGGACAAGAAGACACTAACTTTGGAGTTGATACTGGGACACAGCAGACCCATCGAAAAGAGACCCAGCAGGGGACCCTGGACCACTGAGCCCAGGGTGATGGCCAGCTGCATCACATGAGAGCCCATTCGCTCGACCACGAATACGAGTGCCACGCTCAGTACTCCAATGATCACCGTACAGAGTCGCATGGTTATGGCAGTCTGGCGCTCGGTAAGAGGCTTCTTCGCCAGTGGCCTTATGTAATCCTCCAGGAAAACGGCAGCTAAGGAATTCATACCAGTGGATAGGGAACTGAGAGCAGCGCTAAAGACTCCGGCCACAAACATGCCGGGCACGCCGGGAAACGAGCTCAGGGCTTGCACCACTAGCAGGGGAACCAACTGATCCTTGGCCACGGCCAACTGAAACACATTTAGCAGTCAGAGGAGTCCTTAAAAAACTGATCAAATAATCCCAAACCTTGGTGGTCAATGGATCGCAATCGTAGTAGGTTGCATAAAGCAGGAGGCCGTTGTACAGACACAATGCAAACATGAGAATCAAGCCCAGAATGAAGAGGAAGGATGTCTGGGCCATCTCCTTCACACCGGGCAGGGACATGTAGCGCTGGGTCATCATCTGATTGCAGCCAAACTGGTAAGTGTTGTGCCCCACAGTGCCCACCATCAGGGCCAGCATGGACATGCGCACCTTGGGATCGAGTGTGAATCTGTTTCCGAAGAGCATCGAAACGTGAATAAAAATGGAATAGAATGGCGGAGGTATTCCACCCACTCGGGCCACTCGAGGCGTCCGCTGTCATAGTTTCGCTGAATTACCACGCCCAGCCCGCCCACGTCATAGGTGCCCTTGATGACAACAAAGAATATGGCTCCAATCATAATGACGGTTTGGATGACATCCGTCCAAACGACGGCCTTCAGGCCGCCAACCGTTGTGTAGAAAATGCAGACGAGGCAAACGATGGGCGTAATGACATGGATATTTATGCCAGTAACTGTAAAAGTGTACAAAGGTCAGGACATGGACATGATATATGTGCAATTTATGCATATAATTTATATATTTACAGATCAAAAGAGTTGATAATTGGGATTATTTTCAACATAATTAAAACCATTAAAAATAAATATTTCCATATGTTTTTTATGACAAAAATGGAAAAGGAATGATTTGTAGCAGACTTGCAGTCAAAATTTTGAACCCATTAGTGACTTTCTAGGTTCTTGACAATTTAAATGATTTAATTTTGATATATTTTAGCTTTAACTTCAAGTTCTTACCTTGATTAAAGGCCAGGGCTGGTACATAGATGACAATTGGCAGCCAGACGAGCTGTGGAAAAAACAAATCCAAGGCTTTATAGTAAACTCGGGGGACTTCCTGCTAGGAGCTTGCACTTCGTTGCACTCAAAATTGAATTCTACTTACATTTGCGCCCGTGAAGAAGGCGGATCCCAGCAGACGAACGGACTTGTTAAAGCGCAGCTCGAAGTACTGAAAATATTTTTTTCCATTGTCGGATTGTCGGCGTCGGGTTAACACAATAAAAATGCACACACAAGCACTCGCAGAGACACTGACCGGCAGGACAGGGCAGTGCAGTGCAGAGCGAGTGTGTGCGGCAACGCGGCGCATACATAATCGACTATTACTCATACGACATGTAGCCAGCACCAAACTTATAAACTACGACTGTCCGTATGCCAAACCGGCGCACAATTGGTATTGTTCGGGCTTATTGCAGCCCGGCATGGCATTGTGTGCCAAATCCTCGTGGATACACATGCATATATCCCATTCTCAATCCCAATCCCACATTGGCATGCAAATAAAGTGAACCCTTTCAGGCGATTGCACGCTGTTTTTTTTTTGGTGGAAACACGGACTTCTCCTTGTTCTCTTCGGTCTCCCTTTAACCTTACTTACACATTAACATGCCAGCGAATATTACCAGATTCCAAAGATTTTGTACACTCGAAAGCATTGAATTAATGCGTAACATGCAGTACACACACATCTCTGTGCGATTGGATAACGTTCTGCTTACCTCATAGGTGGATGTCAGCTGGAGGTTGCAGAACACCGGCAGGAAGATGTACCACGAGATGGTGCCCGAGATGGCCAGCGTCACCAGGATGAAGGCGTATTGGGTGCCGTAAACATAAATTTCCGTCGAGGTTCCCAGCAGCGAGATGCCCGACACGAAGCTGAAAGCGGAATATAAAAAATTATTAGTTTGGGATAATTACGGCTGCAGCTCAAAGTTCAAGTTAACGCTAATTGTGCGCCGATTGATCGGAACTTTGGCCAAGTTTGACTTTTTTTTTTATTTTAGGCCTGGACCAAAAATAAACTTGAAGTCAATTTTTAATTGAATAAGGTTCGGGCCACTCAAGATGTTGGCTAAAATTATGATGGAGAAGAGGTCTCAGAAATAAAATTAAGGTTAACTTTGATTAGCATCATTCAAAACACGAAGAAGTTATTTTAAACAAAGCTTAGATGAGGTTTTTTTTAATATTGTATATTAATAATTGAATAATATAATAAATGCTGAATTTAAAATCAAGGCCATATTTATTATTATAAATGTATTTGTAATCTGTAACAAAATTTGTAGTAATTTCCTTGCTGCAATATTTCTGTAAAATCTGCTTAAAGTCTTTCAAGTATAAAAAAAGTAATTTAATATTTAGGACACTGTATATCCTGTTGATAAACTCCTCCTAAGTTTTTAATTAAATTAAGTTTATGCCAATCAATCACGGAAATTTCTGGCTAAACTTTCACAGAGGTGCCCAAAAAATTATTCAACTAAATTTAAGGTAAAAAAAGTTGAATATTAATTATATTATTCCACCGTGAATCTGGCACATCCGAGAGTTCATAATTAAATTAAGCTCGCTCCAAAGCATTTATGGGTGCAAACTTTAATTTAACAACTTTAAGGTAAAACTCCATTAACCAGATCGCGGCTTAACCTAATGCCTGGTCTAGCATTTCGTGTAAGTAACTTTGCTGTGGCCCTTGTATTTCGTAATCTGATTTTAATGATTAATGTCCATAACAATCATCATTTCAATTTTGGCCACAAAACAAATGAATTGCCGCCACAGACACACACAAAGTTGACGGCGGCCAAGAGAGAAATGCCATTAAAAGTTGATAACAAGCGGCGTTAAAGTACGCAGACACCCAACGACACGTTTAAAAAAAAATACAAACAGAAAAAAAATAAAGAAAAAATTGAAAAATCTGCAAAGCACAAAGGACATTTTGAAGGAAAAATAAAATGATGGCATGTAATTGTAATTCAAAGCACGTTGGCTGACGACGACAACAAATAGAATGCCATAACAATAAAAGGCTCACGAAACAATTGTCAGCGGGCGAGGCAAATGACCAAAAGCCCGGCCCTAGGATAGGCAGGATTGCCAGGATTGCGGGGTCCAGGTCGGTCATTAATGCGACGACGACGCCTAAGACAAAGGGACCGCACCCGTCTAAAGGTGCTTGACCAAAACGTGTCAAATACAATGCCCAACACCCACCCGTTCGCTGGGCCAGGACCAAGGTCACTCGGCCGAACGGGCGAACGGCGAAGAAAAAGTAATTTGGGCAAATTATTTGAGTTTGCGGCTTGGCGCAAGTTTAAATAACTTCAATCTGGCTTAGACACCAAAAGCGGCTAAGTTGTATTTATACCCCAGATACTCACACACATATCTATATATATATTACTTGCAAAGTTCCGCAAGCCATTTCAATATCAGCACAATCAACACGGAGGCCACCCCCTAATAGGCTTGACCCTGACAATGAATATTGTTTACGCAATCTCTCCTCCAGTCTTGTGTCGGAAACTTTTAAATAAAATGCTACACTGTTTGTTCTGGCCAAACAACTCGCCGGCAGCCAGACAATGCTGGACTGGGCCAGATTATTCCCTTGCCCAGATTACGTATACGCACGTTTGGCTGATGGCACAAAATAAAGTGAAATGACTGAAAATATATATATATATCTATAGTATATTTTGATTGATTTGGCCGGGGATAAGTTAAGCCCATTACGATAATTTGTGCAAATATTAGCCGAATCCAAGTGAATGCATCGCATTCAATTTTCGGGGATTAGCCCGGCTTAAAGAGACTGAAACAATAAATTTACAAATTTCCTGCCTACCACTATTTCCATTTAAGAGCTGGAACCTGTCTGCTAGGCCTTGTCAAAAGCAATTAAACACAAAGACACTGAGGAAAATAGAAAAGATAATTGGAAAATATATAGATTTTCACATTTTTACATTTTTTTTATAGAACTAGTAAATGCTTCCTAAACAAACTAAATAAAATATAAGATTTTTGTAAATATTGAAACTAAATAAAATAAATTCCCCAGTGAATATCCTATTAGCTGGCCACCGTAAAACACGCAGGGCCAATTAAGCATTTGCATACAAGCCCATGCCCCCAGCCGAAACTGGGTGAACTGTAACTCACCTGGCCACAAGTGACAGCGCGACCGGAAATACTTTCATTTGGCGCCCACCCACCAGGTAGTCCAGGGCCTCTGAGCCACGCCTCTCCTCCAGGCCCGCCGCCCCGGCCCGATCCTTGCCGGCCAGCTTCTTCTTTTTCTGGTTCTTCTCTATAAAGCCGAAATAGAAACCGATAACAGCGCACACGGCCAGCATGGCGATGAAGACCAAGTAATCAACAATGCCAAAGTGCTGCAGTGCCTGGCTCAAATCCTTCACGCTGAGTTTCTCTTCCGCATCTTCCAGATTGGATGAAAATGAGTGGGATGAAGTGGGCGTTGGTGTGGGCGTGGGCGACGGAGTGGGAGTAGTCCCTGAGGAGGTACTGGAGGGACTGGCGCCAGTTGTTGAGCCTGCAGAGACCGTGCTGCTAATTATGGCCACTGTCTTGGCAATCGCATTGACCACCGTCGTGGCAGCGGTTGTAGTGGTGGTGGTGGTGGTCGTGCTGCCTGCCAGGGTGGATGTGGATTCCCCCAGCTCCATGGGATCGGCAGTGGCTGACATTATTTCCGGGACCGCAAGTTGCTTTTATGTAGTTTATTTTTATCGACTTCCAGCCGCTCGCTTTAATGCGTTTCAGCTTTGATTACTTTTGCATTAGTTTTGCCACTCGCACACGCACTGTGAATTGATTTCGATTTTTCATTAGATATATTTTCGGTAGCACTGGGTACTTTAATCGCTTAACCGGAAAAGTTTTGGGAGGACTCTTATTGAATTTTCAAGGTTTTTGGAAGAAAAGAAAAATGAACTTAAAGCGAGTAAGGGGAACTAGAATTTTTTGTAGAGAAGGAATTAATCAGGACGCTTGGAATTTCATAAGCAAAGTTTAATAAAAAGGGAACATTAAATAAAAGAATATTATGAATAATATTAAGTAATGTTTAACACAATGCTCCAGCTAATTACACATACAATTTGAACAATTAATACTGTTTAAAAGACTTGTTCTGGTTGTGAAATGAATTAATTAAGATAGAAAGACTTGTTCTTTATTTAATATGAATTAATTAAGATAAAAAGCTATTCATTCTTTATATAAATCACTCTTCAAATCGTTATAATTTTTACTCAAAAACCAATAAAATACTACAGAAATTACTTTATACAAAGTTAAGCTTAAGAGAACTTTTAATAAAACTCTTATACAATCTTATATCTTATATCACACACGCACTCAAGATCCTTGACTTTCGGAATCAGGATATATCAATTAACTGTAGACGAGAGCCCGCACAAGTGTACGATCTGAATCTCCACCGAGCACTGAACTTAATTTCCGACTCAAGCACCGTTAGAGATCACCGTAGATCTTATCTAGCTTCTAGGCGCCGTAGCATTCGGCATCAGCATCAGCGTCAGCATCGCCAGAGCACGCCGATCATAATTCACGCAAATCTTGTAAGTGTGGACTGAGGCTTTGTGTAAGGCTTTATCGTCTAATTGGCCAGGGGCATGCCAGACGTGCAGCCCAGGCGAGATGAATAGATAAGTGCACACCCCCCATTCGGGGTGTGTGATGCTCTAGTGGATAGTCTCGTCGTCTAGCCGCAAATCTGCCAGATTGTAAATTACTTTCTTTGTACGCGGACGTGGCCCAGGCGAGACTTTATTGCCAGTGTGTCGGTTATATATAAAAATGCATATCCCTAGAACTTTACAGCTCTTCAAAAAAAAGGGGTAAATTTCCACGAGAATACGTTAAACTCTGAGTGTTCACTAGGCGAATAGCCTAGCTGTGGTTCAAACGAGTGGCTACTGGTTTTGTCAACACTGATAGACAAATTTGAATAAAGAACAAAGTTACAAAATGGTAACCTTTAACACTACAAAACATAGAGCTATAAAAACACTTGATATATATATTTGAGAAAATATTTAAAATATAATAAAATATAGATAAAGTCCTGTCAAATATTGTGTAGACAAACTTGGAAAATAATTATAAAATAATTATTTTTTAATATATTTTGAAATTCTTTAATCATAGAATATTAAGACTTGTAGCTTAGTGTCACCTTTACACATTGTTTTAACTGATGATTAGGCCAGAATTTTTGCTGAATGCGCTCAGTCAAGGCCAAGACGTGACGTATGCGTGTGGAATACGATACAAACTTGGATCTAATTAAATACTAAACGGTTTTTTTGTTTTTTATTTCCACCCCCCAGGTCAGGCCTGAATTTCGCCATGAAAGCCAAACCATTTCATGGCATTTTCTGCTGCGCAACAGGATGCGACACAAATTCAATTTTGAAAATGGCCAGCACAGTTAGCTAACCGTACGAATGCCCCAATTGGCCATATCCGACAGGCAATGGCAATCAAGTTGAACTCCACAACCCAATAAAAAAAAGTAACTCAATGTGGCATGTCAAGTGACAAAAAAGCAACAGAAAAAACCATGTCAGTTGTACATAGTTGTAGCTGTGGCAGCTCCTTCATCTCGGTTTTATTGGGTTTAATCGAAGAACAATGCCTGTGATATCATCCAAGTTATTGTTGGTGCAGCAATTTATACAGTAGCTCAGAATAGTCTGCTGCACTAGAAGAGGCTCTCCTTCTTGGTTCACATAAATAGCCAGCACACCAACACCAGCAACTAATTGATTTTTGACAATCAATTACGGCAATTACTTACGTCCCGGAGCAGGGTCGAATGGATGAGGTAAATTCAATTTGTGGAAACCTACAAAACGCACACACAACGTGACTCCAGCTTTTGGGTAATCTTTACCTGAGGTAATCCTTGAGAGCAAGGACAGCCTTCGAAGACTCGAAGAGCTAAGTAGAAATAAAGGGAGCATTCCATAAATACAATTTTCTTGGAAACAAGTTCTGTTTCTGTATTACATTAGTATTTATATCACGTTTCCTTCAAAATTTAAATTTTAAATATTTTAAATATTTATTTGAATTAATCTATCCCAAGAAAGTATTGATTTAGGTTGTAGAAACCTTAAAAATAAAACGTAGAAATTAAAAAATGATCTTGACCTTAAAAGTCCTCGTCTGTTAAATGGAAATTTCCATTAGCTTCAATAAGAAAATGTGAATTGACGTAGTTTCCATCTATTTTAATCCCATTCCTAAAAATAGTCTTACCAGGTAATCCCACAGATACCGGTAAAAATCCAAATATAAACAATAAACGTTACAGCATGTTGAAACGGCCTGATGAACGTGTAACAATAATAGTAAACAAAAGATAAAATCATAATTAAATTCGTAAATCTGTGCGCAGTGCTTATGTGCGGCCTTAAAGACCAGAACTAACCCACAGATAAAGGCCAGTGGCAACCGCAATATAAAACCCGGGCCAGCGTAAATATGGCGCCAAAACAAAAATAATAAAAAAAGATGATGAAAAAATGCCACAAAGCGCTGCAAAATTTAATTATTTTCATGCGATGAACAAAAAGGAAAACCCGGAGTTTAGCATATGCAAAATAATGGCCAAAAAACCGGCAATGGCAGCCGCGCACCACTTGACCCTTTTGGGCCGGTCTTAATTTGTCTGGGAGCCGCAAGTGTTTCTGGCCTTATGACTTGGCCCAGAAAATGCCAGCTTAACTCTACGGGAAGCCGCCCAAGTACACTCACCTTGCGCCCTTTTGTGAGGAAAATCCGAAGCCAGTCGAATAGTTGTGCAGTTAGTGTTTGGAAATGTTCCATTTCCGGTTGCAAGCTGCAGCTTCTCCATTTGCTCAAAGGGCCCCCTCCTGTAGTTGCCTTGACTTTGGCTCCATTTCGTTTCTCTTGTGTGTTTTCCCTTTTTTGATACCCGGTGATTTCTAAGGAGAAGGGTGTATGGTATTTGTATAATAAGCAGTTTTGATAAGGATCTAAAAATAGAGGAAAAATTTAAAGATTTCTAGAATTTTATATATATTTTTCTCAACAAAAAGGTCTCTACCCAGGCTCTGTGCTTCGGTTTTTAAGGGTATTTAATAGTGTATACCCTAAACTTGTAAGTTCTTTCTTGTTTCGTTGTGTGTTTTCCGTTTTGTGCACACACACTTGAGCCAATTTAACGCTTCCGTGTGCTTTTCACTTGCAACGCCTCGTTGACTGTGCGCTCAGAAAAACTTAGTGTTTGAGAATAGGGGCCAGGGGGGGAAAATGATTTAATTTCTAGCTAAAAACCGAAAACACAATCCGTAAATTAGCGCTCTGCCATGTACACTCCAATTAATCCAGTTAAGTAATCTCTGGGCATATTTCTTTGCCGCCAGAACTATTCGGGGCCATTGATTACACGGCCCTCAAATTAAGACCAATTAAATCAAATCCAGATTGGGCGGGCGGATCCAGCGAAACCCACGAATCCCACGCAAATCGCGTGGCCTTGAACTTGCCGCACAGCCCAGAGCCATTAGCCAAAAGCCAGACTCCCTTCGATCTAATTTCTTACTCAGCCTTCCAGCCTACATAGTACATACATATCCACCCGGGGGCATTTATGCCCAGACACATGGCCTGAAATCGACTTGGCCCTTTGGAGAGTTGCGCTGATACCGGGGATTGGCAGTGAAAAGCTTGAATATGCATTATTCTTTCAGCTGGCCAGCCATCCGCTGGCAATCAGAAGTTGCTCGAGTGGAAAAATTAAATGTATTTCTCTGTCCAAACATGTGAAGTGGGTTTGGGATGGATTGAAAAGTGCTTGGCTCCAAGTTGTGGTTCCAGGAATGGTGTCTGAAAAGTTGGCAGCTATGGCTTAAAGTTTTATAAAGCGTTGAGGTAAATATTAGTTTGTAATACGTATAAAAAATTAAAAAATACCAAGCTGAAAATGTTCAAAAACATTAAATAAAGCCACGGAAAAGTAAAAGATTCTTTCAACTTCCTTACAATAGAGAGAAAATAAACGTAATTTATCTTTCAAATACTTTGTTTAAATCTAAATGTTTAGGTGGATTTTATATTTCCCTTTTCAGTTTTTTTCCTCTGCCTACTTAATGTTTGCCTTAGTCTGACTAGCTTATCACCTAACTTAAAGTAAATCCGATTGCCAACGGTATAAAGTCCCCGTCGAGATTAGAGAGGCTATCTATCAATCACATTCCACTGTTCTTTGACTCGTACGCCTGCATGATGGCGATCACAGGTTCGTTCACATACACTCGCACCTCATGGTTCAGGGCGTAGTCTCCATGGTTCCACTCTTTGTCGTCCATGTGGTGCATCTCCTTTTTAGGCAGTCGCTTGGCCAGTGCCTCCACATCTTCGACGGCGGCCAAATCATCGCTGTCCGAGTACCACATGTGCACTTCGGCGGTGATCAGTTCCACAGGATACTCTGGCGGTTCTTCGGTGCCATAGATCTCCAGATTCTTCTTGATTCCATGATCAAACTGCCTGAAGTAGCCGGAATGATGTTCTTGCAGATAGTGGAGCATCTGATCAGTGGAACAACCTGCCGGATGGGTGGCCATAGCATCGGGCATTGCCGTCTGAAGGAAATTTACATATGAAATTTAAATATTTAGGAATCTAAAATTAAGTTTCCACTTACCATATTAACCCGACCGCCGGCGTAGAGAGACTCCATGGCTCTGTCGCACACTGGACGCAGCATAAAGTCCGGCTGGCAGAGATTGAAGAATAGGGCCATCACGAACTCATTGTGTGGCAGAAACTCCTGGCAGCCAAAAAGCGTGTCAGAGATACCTCCGTTTCCCAAATACCGACTGACGGAACGCACAAAGGAGCTGCCCAGGTTCTTCATGATGGCCACCGGGGCAAACATGTGGGCGGTCTTGATCTTCTTGTTATATTCCGGCAGCGTAGACATTCCGGCAAAGAAAACCGTGGTGCCCTGCGAGTGACCCACATAGTGGATGGCCTCCTGCCCCTGGCCATTCTCCGTGGCCAGGGCATAGTCAATGATGGCGGTAATATCATAAATGGCAATCTCATGCCAACTGAATTTCCAGAAACTAGGATGTTCTGTGGAGATCTTGGTGTGGTTTCTGGAGTAGGAGGTTCCACGTGCATTGCCCATCCACACATCGTATCCTGCATCGGCTAGCAAATAAGGAAGACTATCGTTGGGTCCTTGCAGAATCCAGGCATCAGAGCAGCTAGTCAATCCATGTTGCAGCAGCACTATGGGTCGCTTTACGTTTTGATTCTGCAATTTGTGGGAATAGGGAATCCGGAATACGCCCACGACATAGCCATCCTTGGTGGTGATGTGATGATGCTCCGATGGGTAACCATGGAGGGCTGTGCGATCGGACTACGAATAAAATAAAAAGTTGTAGATACTTTAAATATATTTAAACTTAGGCTCACCGTTGTCAATTTCCCTTTTAGGCTGACATGAGCCTCTGGATTATCGTACAGTTTATAAAAATCGATTGGCGCTTCTAAAGCTGCGGCATAACTGCCTGCCGCCAAACCGGCCAGGATTATCAAGGTAAGGCTCTTCATATTCCCGCAATGGTTCGATGCCAACTGACTATGGCCAAACACATGACTTTCAGCTTTTGTAGCAATCCGCGGGAGGTTCAGTTTCAAGTAGCTCTTACTATCGAGGGTTCGATTATAAATTTAGACTGTCAAGATAGTGTTTAATTAAGGAAAGCGTTAATCTAAAAGTTATAAAAGTAGGATTAAAAGTGTTTACATTATAAAATTGAGACCAGGGATGGCAGGAAATATCGATATACCAAACTTGTATCAGAGTTTGAAGCTTAAAACTATATTTTAATATTTTGAAAAATCATTTTTATTGTTGAGAAATAAAATACAGAAAAGGAGGAAATAAAGTAAATAAGCTTTTTTAATAATAACTTTGATTTTTACAAATTTGATATATAAAAGTTTACTATATTTGTATGTATCAACGATTTTATTTAATTATTACTTAGTTTTTTTAAATCTCAGTTGATCATAAAAGTGGGAAAACCCCAAAATTAGTATATAGATTAGCCCCAACCGGAGAGAGTGTGCCATAAAGTGATTGATGTTTCCGAATGCGATAATTCAAATAACTAAACGCGTCACTTGGCGCACTTAAAAGAGCTTAACTTATCGCCTACTTAAGGCACTTCAGTAAAAACTCCGATAATCTAGCAAAAGAATTTACCCCCATCGACCGTGTGGGTTGTTTTAGATTAGCAATCCATTTATAGATTTAAAGAGGGGTAGCTTTAAACTTTTATGACCTCTACTTCTTCATGGAAAATGGTTTTTTGATTACAAAAGTCGGCTAAGTTCTAATGACTTAAATATGCACAAGGAGGAAGTGGGTTTCGAGTGTCAAGTGCAAATCAGTTGGCTTCCATTCAGTAATGAAGTGGTCCTACTTATGGACGTCTCAGCTATATCCGCTTGTGATAAGATATAGTCAAACTAATTGTAGTTTTGATTTTACATAAATATTAACTATGATAACTACATATATATAAATGCTAAGTTGGTGGACTATGCCCACTATCACTTGTCCTCGTACTCATTTATGAAGGCTATAATCGGATCATTGATGTACTGGCGGACCTTCCAGTTGTTGATAAAGTCCATGTGATCCCACAGCTCATCCTCCATGTGATGCATCACCTTGTTGGGCAGTGTGGCCGCCAATCGGAGGACGTCCTCCACAGCAGACATGTCATCGTTGTCGGAATACCAGAGATGCATTTTAGTTGTAATCAGCTCGGTGGGGTAATCCGGAGGCACTTCACTACCATACATCTTCAGATTCTTTTTGGTACCAAAGTCAAACTGTCGGAAATGTGCAGATTGATGCTCCTGCATGTAGTGCAGGATTTGATCCGTGGAGACCCCAGCAGGCGATACATCGGAAAACAAAGATTCGGCAGTCTACAAGAGATATATAAAAAATAAAAATAAATCTGATATTTATAGACAATATTTAAATATACATACTGTATTAGTTCGTCCCTCCTCCACTTGAGTACTCTCATTGCCGCTGCAAAAACTGGAAACCACCGATTCCGGTCGGCAAACATTAAAGAATAAAGCCAGGACAAAGTCGTTATGCGGCAAAAACTCCTGAGAGCAGAAGAGTCTCGAGTAGAGGTTGTTAAATCCGAGATATGGAGACAATGTATTGACCATAAAGTCATCCATGTTATTCATAAAAGCCACAGGAGCCAACAAGTGGCTGGTCTTGATTTTCTTGTTATATTCTGGTCTCGAGGACATCAGCACCAGCATCACAGTGGTGCCCTGAGAATGCCCCACATAGTGAATGCCCTCCTGATCCTTGCCATTTTCCGTGGACAAAGTATAGTCGATGGCTGCGGCTATGTCATAGTATCCAATTTCGTGCCAGCTGAAGCGCCAAAAATTTGGATTTTTGGTCGTTAAAGAGGTGTGGTTCCTCGAGAACCTATTGCCCCGGGTATTTCCCAGCCAGACATCGTATCCCGCATCGGAAAGGAGGAATGGCAGGCCATCATTCGGTCCCAAACTAGGCCAGATATCGGAACTAGCAAAGAGTCCGTGCTGGAGAAAGACAATCGGTCGCTTTTCATCCTGATTCTGTAGGTTGTGGGAGAAGGGAATGCGGAACAGACTGATGATGTAGCCATCTTCAGTCGTTACATAGTGACGCTCGGCTGGGTAACCATGCTCTTCAATAAAATCAATCTACAAAATATAAAAATATTAATTTAAGACAATTTTAGTTTGTTTATTTAAATACTCACCGTGGTTGGGGCCTTGGCCAACGACAAATGCGCTTCTGGATTGTTAAATAATTGATAAAAGTCGCTGATTGGTGCAGGATCTTCAATCAGAGGTGCACATTGGACCACTGTCCCCAGGAAAATGCCTATCAAGACGACCAAGACTGCGATGTGATTGGTAGGCATTTTGAGACTGAACTACGGTAAAAACCAAGAGCACTCTGCCCTTATAAAGACCACCTCCCGCCACTTGAGTTGAGTGGTTTTATTGATACGAGACCGATTATTCCACGAGCCAATTAAATGGGTATAAACTCGAGTGGTGGTAATGTCATAAACTCTCTCATGTACACGCTTGGGGAAATAACTTTTACACTTAAGTTTCTTAGTATTCCGGAAATATTTAAATAAATTTGTTAAGAGTTTATAATTTAAGTATTCAACTGAAATTGAAAGAACTTTAGAACTTTTACTTTTTCAAAAAAATATATTTGAAAATAATAAAAGATAATATAAATAATATAATTTAAATAATTTTCATTAACGGACTCAGTTTATATTAGCCTCATATTCGTTCATTATGGCTATAATGGGATCATTAATGTACCGACGCACCTCCCAGTTGTTGGCGAAATCCCCGTGATCCCACAGCTCATCCTCCATGTGGTGCATCACCTTGTTGGGCAGGGTGGCCGCCAATCGGAGGACATCCTCCACAGCAGCCATATCATCGTTGTCCGAATACCACAGATGCATTTTACTTGTAATCAGCTCAGTGGGATAGTCAGGTATCGGCGTTTCCTCTCCATAAAGTTTAATATTCTTTTTGGTGCCAAAGTCAAACTGTCGGAAGTTTCCCGATTGATGCTCCTGCATGTAGTGCAGGATTTGATCTGTGGATACCCCAGCGGGCATGACTCCAGATATGACAGCATTGGCGGTCTGAAGGGGATTACAAAAATGTAATAATTAAAGTAAATATGATGAGTTTATAAAATCTTATAGGTTACAATCTATAAGGGAAACATTAACCCACCTTATTGGTTCGTCCTTGGTCCTCTGTGGTCTCCTCACTGCTGCTGCAAAAACCGGAAACAATTGAATTCGGTCGGCAGATATTATACAATAAAGCCAATACGAAATCGTTGTGTGGCAAAAACTCCTGAGAGCAGAAGAGCGTCGAGTATAGGTTGTTGAATCCTAAATAAGGGGACAAACTATTGACCATAATGTCATCCATGTGATCCATAAATGCAACCGGAGCCAGCAGGTGAGACGTCTTGATCTTGTCGTTATACTCAGGCCGCGAGGAGGTTAAAACCAGCATCACTGTGGTGCCCTGGGAATGGCCCACATAGTGAATGCCCTCCTGACCCAACCCGTTCTCCGTGGACAATGTATAGTCGATGGCAGCGGCGATGTCAAAGTATCCAATTTCGTGCCAGCTGAAGCGCCAGAAGTTAGGATTTTTTAGGGACAGAGAGGTATGGTTCTTCGAGTATCTATTTCCACGAGCATTGCCCAACCAGACATCGTAGCCCGCATCGGAAAGGAGGAATGGCAGGCCATCATCCGGTCCCAAGCTTGGCCAGACATCAGAGCTGCCAAAGAGGCCATGCTGAAGGAAGGCAATGGGTCGCTTTTCATCCTGATTCTGTAGGTTGTGGGAGTAGGGAATCCGGAAGAGACTGATAATATAGCCATCTTCAGTGGTTACATAGTGACGCTCGGCTGGGTAACCATGCTCTTCAATGAAGTCAATCTGTAATACAGTTAAATAATATATAATACCATAGTAATTTAATTGCTTCTTAGTAAACTTATATTTACCGTGGTAGGTGCTTTGGCAAATGATAAATGAGCATCGGGATTGTTGAACAGTTGATAGAAATCGGTAACATTTGCAGGATTTCCGTCGTTGGCCAAAGGGGCACCTCGGATAATGCCCACTAAAATGGTGAAGACTGCGATGTGATATGCAGACATTTTGGAACAGAACTAAGGCGAAAATACAGAGTACCTGGGCTTTATAAAGACTACCGTTCGCCCCTTAAATTAAGTGGTCATATTGATAGGGAATGCTGCTAATGAGGCAATTAAACTCAAGTGCTGGTATTATCATAAACTTTCTTATAGAAAAGTGGGAAAATATTGAAAAATTAGATTATTTTCCAAATTTGCTAGACAAAGTTCTGGATATATAATATTTAGTTTCCCTTCAAAATTTGAGGATTAACTCGTATAGGTTAATATTTATTGTCATTTTAGTACGCAGTTTGAATTTCCCAATTAGTTTTTTATTTGACCCAATGGAATTAATGAATTTATAATCGATTATCGATGGTTTGCTGATTATTCAAGTATAAATAAAGATATGAGGAAAAGCTATTGTGTACTTTCAAACAAAGCTATAATCTGGACATACCTTAAGTTATATAAAGAAGTACTTTTCTGCTTGATAAGTTCTAAGAAATTGTAATAGTATCTTACCGTTCAATTTTGATCAAAAATATATATTAGATATTTAAACCACTTAGAAATCAGAAGCACAAGATTTGTATTTATTAAATAAATAAATAAAATAAATAAATATATAGTTTTCAGTAATTAAGAAAGAGGAAACTTACAAAAACCATAATAATTAATTGCCTAAATGGCTTTAATAAATATTTCTAATAAATAAGTACATATTTTCTATGTTTTTATAAGCAAAAATTCACTATAGGTCAAATTAACAACGCACTCGGGCTGGAATGGTTTTCATCTGATGATCTTCGCCTATTTTTAGAACCGCCACCATTCCCTGGACAGCATGAGCCTCGATATGACAGTGATATAGCCAAAAGCCAGGATTGTTTGAAAGGAAGCGAACGATGATGTAGCCCAGACCAGGAATCTGAACCGTGTCCTTGGCCACGGCAGCGCTGTCATCCGATAAGCGAGCCAGGCGGCCCCTACGATCAAGTTCTCGTATCTACAAAAATGTAAATAAATTATTTAATTTCAGATAATGCTTTTTAAACCACTCACATTTCGCAGATCGTTGAGATTTCCCAGAACCGCTTGTCCCACCAGCCGGAAGGTATGGCCATGGATGTGGAACGGATGCGTGTTGTCCATATAGTTGGCCACTACCATTTCCAAAGGACGATAGGCTGGCATTCGGATCACATTGACACACTCACAGAGTTCCCTCTCACATCTCCGCCCCTCGGCAGCCAGGGAGCTCTTGTTGCAGAAATAACCATCGTCCTGGTAGAGATGCCTGCCCTGCAGCAAGGATATACTCGGCGAGTTGTACGATATATCGTCGATCTGGAAGAGCATCTCTCCATTTGGTGCCATTTGAGAGCCGAAGCTGGAGTAATAGGTGACGAACTTGGTATAACGAGACCAGGGAGCAAGGTCCAGGGATCTCAAGGCCACCGTTCCCACGTTGTTGTCCTTGTCCAGCGATTGACGTAGGGATGAGGAGCCCGAGGAATTGAAAGAACTAAAGCGATAGTCGTTGACCAAAATGAGATCTTCATTCGAAGTCCTGCCCTTCGGGTTATCCAGTATGCTGCCCTGCGGCAGCTCAGTGCGAGCCGATCCCCGGTAGCTGAGTACTGCTCCCTGATAGAGATTGCGACCCTCGCACTGCTCATAGCCCCGGATACGTATCCAATAGTTCTTGGCATACTGATTGGCCTCCAGTACAAAATCAAATCGCTCGGCGGATGTAAGGAAGAAACCATCGGCCAGCACTGGCTCTATATCATTGCCATCGGTGCTGAGGATCAGGAGCTTGTGCTGTTCGATGGAGAATTCCACGGGACAATTGGCGATGCCATTGAGTATTACCCTCATCCTGTAGCGGTAGCCAGGAGTAACCCGTAGCCTCTCGTAGCGATGACGATTGTCGTTATCCGGTAACTGGTTGAGATGATTGCGTCCCTTGCCGTTAACCAGGATGTTCCGCACGTCCTGCAGGTTGGTGTCATAAAATATATCCTGCACCATTAGGGTGTGCTCCACCAGATCATAATCATAGAGCTGGGCATGCTGATTCTCCTGCCGTGTCTGTCGGACAATTAGAGCTCCTGCCACTCCAAAGCCCCGCTGCCAACCCACATGACTGTGGTACCACAACGAACCACTGCGATCCACCTGGAACTCGTAGCGCTGCACCTCGCCCGGTTGTAGGGGATATTGGGTGATAAACGGAGCTCCGTCCATTTCAGGCGAACGCTTCATGTGGACACCGTGCCAATGCATCGCAGTGGGTTCACCCAGATAATTCAGGACATCCACCACCACTGTATCGTTTTCACAGAGCTCTATGGGAGGTCCTGGCACCATGCGATTCACGGCCATCACTGGATTGGGCACACCGTCCCCGAAGATGCAATGCTCCGCGGCACAAGCCCTGTCGTCGTACTGACACCTCTGGCACTCTGGTCCAAGTCTCTGGTAATTGTGAACCACCAGTTGGTAGTAGCAGTTCTGGGACTGACCCTGCTGGCAGACTCTCCGGCAGGGATGGCGATCAAAGTCCCCGAAATTGGCCAACTCCATTTGGCTGTAGTCGTTCTTTAGATCCAAATCCAAGGAGGAGGAGGGTTTTCCCTTAGTGGTCTTATTCCGCGACCAGGGGAACGAAGGCCACTCGAATTTAACCTCAGGGGAAACCTCATTTAAGGACTCTGCCTGAAGCTGGACAAGGCTAAGCCCAATCAGTATCACCAACAGCCAGGGGCTGGAAAGACTTTTACTTTCGCGTTTGGACATCGCGAACCGCAACGGACAACTGGCACCTTGGTTGACGGGCAATCGGCGAAGAAAGTTTTTGGCCAAAAGGGCGACCCAGACCTTTGCTCATGCGCCGCACGTAGCGTCCATTAAAGCTGAGCTGAATTTGATAAGCCCGATAATATCGTAACGATCGGGAACGTAATGGTAAATGGAACGCTTAAGCAGTCGTAAAAAAAACGATCTACTTTTAATAGGAATATTAAGCAAGGTAGACATAATTTTAGTGATAAATTTAAATTATAAATAATATTAAAAAATTAATGTAAACTTGTCACTTAAAAATCAAAGCCAATAATCAAAGCTTCCCCTCTGGAATTATAAAGAATATTTTATTACAATACATATAAAATTATGTAAAATATAATTTAAATCTCAGCCGGTGCTGCAGATGCCGCTGGAGGTGCTCCAGTGGCCATACCTCCGGAACTGGTGGCCGTGCTCATCAGACTGATCACTCCACAGGCAATAACCGGACCCACTGAGTTCTCCTCGTTCTGATAGGCCAAGGCATTGGGCATTGCCTGGAGCGAGGATGAAAAGACCTCCGCATTTAAGGCTGTATTCAGATCAATAGCTTTGCTGTGGATCACAATGGATCGTCCAATGATACCATTAAAGCCAAACAACTGCAAGTAGAGGCTCTGGAAGACCGCAGAGATGCTGCCATCATCCTTGGTGTCCACGTTGCCAAGCTAGGAATATATTTCAGTTAAAGATAGTTTCTGTAAATCTATGTTTAAGATCCTTGGCGTCTTACAAAATTATTGGGAAACTGTCCGCCCGTTGACTTGCAGCCATCACTCAGATCCCCAAAGGTGTGGATGTGCAGAGCATGTTTTCCAGGTGGCAATCCCGTAACATTGATGGTCACCTTGATATCCGAGTTATAGGGCAGCTGCAGAAAGGAAATCATGCCAGCCACGCCCGCTCCCTCTCCATCGCCCATTAGTTTGGCACCAGCCTGCCATTGGGGCACCAACTGCTGGTGAAAATAATGGGGAATTATTGCGAAATTGTTCAGAAATTGTAGTAAATTTATTGAAATTATGAAAATACAGGAAGGAAGCTAAGTTCAGGAAGCCGAAGTTTGTTTACCATTGCTTAATCGACTTGGCTTCTGATGCTGATCAAGAAAATATAGGGCTTTAAATGACGTATTCACTGCCTTACAATCATCTGCCCAAAATTATAATACCCTTAACTGGCATAAAAATAATTTAATTTAATTTATAAATTGGAGTACACAAAAAACATGCCTATGATACAATATAAAATATAATGGGTTTCAAGATCAAACAAATTAAACGAATTATGCATTCGTACATTTCAAATTAAAGACTCAACAAAAAAACAAACAATACTATTTAAAATAAATTTAAGTATTTAAATAGTGTTTGATGTCATTAAATAATTAAGTAGTTGTTTAAAAAAAACGTGCCAAAGGGGGATTTCTTTTAATAGAATTAATGCTGAATAAAAAATAGTTGTGGGAAAACTGCCAGACAAAGAAGATAGTTAGTTAATTGAGTGAGTAATTTACTAAAGCAACATACAAATAAATAAATAAATTAAATAAATAAACAACTAAATATATAAACATATATAATGCAAAATAAATTTAATATGGTTATTAAAATGTTATAAGCTCACATAAGTATATCCCAAATAAGCAGGTTGTGGTGGAAGCAGAGGTCCTAAAAGTCCAGCAGATCCCGGTATACCCGCAGGACCTCCCAGCGGCACTGTCAACCGCTCGTACCGCTTCACCTTGGTGCCGGACACCACTTTGATGCCATCATCGAAGCGAGTCACATTCACCGGACGTAGACGATCGAGCAGATTTTGTGCACTGCCAGGCACAAAAACGAATCCATTGCCAATTACCAGCGCCAGAATCAGTTTAATGAGCATTTTTCACAAACTCGCAATGTGTTAGAGAATATCGAGAATACAGGGAACTCTCACTACCTCTCGGATCTGGGGCTTTGGATGAACTGATCCAAGCCCCGGGCTTGGCCTATCCATGATGACTTCGACACGGTTTTCATGGCGATTGACCACGTTAATTGTCACCGTCGCTGTGGCTCGGAGAGCGGAGTGGATCTGGTCAGTAGTAGTGGGGTGGCGATATAGCCGTATCGCCGGCACAGTTGATGACTAGATTGGACGCTAATGGCGATTGAGTGTCGCGTGTGTGCTTGATGCTTGGTTAGCCCTCCCATGGGCGTACTTCTGGTGGGGATTGGGGGCAAGACCGCAGTACACTATTGAGATGTTTAAAAACTAACTACACTTGACAAATTTTAACTACAAAATTAACAGTTTGAAAAGAACTTGAATGAGCTTAAAAATGTTTAAAAAATAACTTGAAACTTATAAGTCTGAGCCTAATATTTTCATTAATGAAATTGAACCCCTTAAGTTAAAACATTATAAATACATTTCCGACATGAGACCACCTACAATGCTTAAACTAGTTCATCAATAGGGCATTGAAAGTGTAAAATGTAACCTAATTTCCGGAAAGTCACGCGAGATTTGCTTATAATGTTGGCTCATTTATTACATGACAAAGAAAATCATCATTAATTGAATAAATATTAAAAATAGGCATTGTTTATTGAATAAATAATAAGCACACAAAAATCTAACTAGTTTATTAAGCCCATTAATTAAATAAATCGTAACCTAAATCTTAAAAAGTCTACAATTATCTAGTAAGCCGGAGACTCCTTAAATTCAAAACTCATAGTTTTGTAAAACAGTTCCTTATAAAACAGCTCACTAGTGGCTTGTTTTTAATTGTTGCTTGTTTTTAACACCTTTTGCTTGTTTTTACCACTTAAAAAACTAAGTTTTTTCAATTTACAATTATAAATTATAAATATAATTGCAATAAACCCACCAACACTATTATATGCAGACATCAGCTAATCGCAAACCCAATGAAAGTGAAAATAGTTAACCCAGATATTCCAAAAAACGGCAATCGACACGCGAGATTTGCTTGGCATAGAGATGACATATATAGTTTATTTTTTTTAAATGGCGTCCATTTGCAATTATAAACAGATTCATCCGGTTTAGCAATAAATTAAACTGGGTTATGTGTGTGCGGAAAGGGGTAAGTTATAAGAGGATCAGTCGTTGTAGGTCTCCCAGTTGCTGGCTTCAAATCAGGTATCGAAACTCATCGATAGCCGCCTCGATGGCCTCCGCGTCCACCATGGCCGCCATGTCCACCACGTCCACCTCCTCGTCCTCCACCGTTCCATCCTGTTCCCTGGACACGTCCACTGCCGCCTATCCATTGCTGGTCGTTCCGATCCTGACTTCGATCGCGTTGGTTTTGAGAGTAATGTTGCTGCTGCTGCTGATGCTGCTGCTGATACTGCTGCTGATGCTGTTGTTGCTGCTGCTGAGGTTGCTGCCAATTACCTCCGCCGCCTCCTCCTCCGCCACCGCCTCCTCCTCCTCCACGACCGCCCCTGAAGTTGCCACCACCGCCACGCCCGCCTCCTGGTGGACCACCAGCCCTCTGCTGCTGCCAGGAGGGCATTTCAGGCGGCGGCGGAGCATGCTCGTTGGCCCGACCACCGCGATCCGGAACGTGTCCCATGACATGCTTCTGGATCTTCGAAGCCGTATTCTTGCGGACATTTGCCGAGCTAGTCTTCTCTATGATGGCCAAGTCAGAGCGGGCGGCCAGCAGGGCCACCAAGTCAGTTTGATTGCCGCCGACTCTGAACTGGTCCAGCTCCCGCATCTTGCGCTGGAACCGCTCTGTTATCTCATTTGCACGCTGGCGCATCGTTTCCGACCACTGAAAGCTCTGCACGGTGGCCTCCAGTCGCGTGGTCATCATCTGCCGGCGCAGATTATACTCCGCCTCCAGTTCGCGGTGCATGGACTCCAGCAGACGCCAATTTGCATCGGTCAGAGGCTTCTTCAATTTCAGCAGCGGCTCGCTGACCACCAGGCGATTGGTCTGCTTCAGCTTCTGGTCCAGACGAGGCGTAATCTGCTCGAACAGCCACTGTGTGCTGATGTTCTGTGGCAGCTCGCCCAGCTGCAAATCCTTGGCCAGCTGTTCCACAACCTGCTGCACATTGGAGTCACTGGCCTTGCTCCGTTTGCAGGGCGGAGCCCCCACGGGCTGGGCCTTCAGCAACATCTTGGTGGTCATCAGCTCTGAGGTAAGGTACTCCAGCAGCTGTACCAGCGCCTCCCTGCTCCGGAATCTTTCCTCCATCGCACCGGAAACAAGACAGCGATAGGGACAGCCCAGTTCGGTCAGCAGCAGACCAAGCTCAAAGGTGAACTCGTCGTGATCCCCACTGCCGGAGCTGACCCGCTCGTCCGTCTTGCGCAGCACATGCAGTTCGTGGGCCAGCCAATGGATGACGGCCCGCAACTCGGGGCTACCGATTCCGGCGTCCAGCGCTCGGCTAAGGTTCTCCTGCTGCAGGCAGGGTCCGCTGTAGGCCAGCGCCTGCAGCGAGTCCACCACGTCCAGTTCGAGCTCCATTTCCGGTTTGATTTTCACTCTTTAAAGTGTCAATTTGACTTTTTTTCGGGAAATATTAATATTTCGTTGACCGGCAAATGAAACATCGATAGTGGAAGCAGTGTTACCAGATGCCAATTTGGGTTTCCCCTTAAAAAATCCCAACAATACCATAGTGATGCCAAAACTTGGCAGTGTTGTCAAGTCATATCATTTTTTTAACTTTCAAAATATTTGAAATGTTTTTTTAAAAAATTTTAAATAATAAATAAATAAAGACTTTTCCCCCTAAATCCCCTTAAGACGTATAAAAACCGAGAAAAATTTAGTTGAAAATTTTAAACATTGTAGGTTTACTTTATTTTTGAAAAAGTTTTCAAAAATAAGATATACCTTTATAGCCAATTATTATACATTACTATTTTTCAATTTCAATTACTATTTTTCAATTTTTATATAAAAGTTGAGTAACAACTGTTATATTTAATTTTTAAAATAATAATTTAAAATAAAGATTATTCTGCAAATTAAAATCTGTGATTTCTACCGAGATCTACAATCATTTATAAGTCTAATAATCATCGAAAATGCACCATTTAAAATATTTTTAAAGCACTAGTAAGTAAAAAAAAAAATTAAATATTTAACGTTTCTATTTTAAATGCAAACTAAGACAGATTATTATGAATCAAAATTCAGTAAACATAAAACTTCCTTATAGTCTAAAAATAAATACGAAAGAAAATACAAAAATGTTAATCTTTTGATTTCGATTGGATCAAATAATATTAAATTATAAATTAAAATTATATTAAAAATTATACAACATACAAAAGAATAAATATAACCCAATCATACCCAAAACCCACTATTTATCATCACTTTCCATTGAAATCTAATGAATTTATGTCAAAAATCCTTTAAATAAAAATCAACACTTATTTATTTACTTTTACATAACTTCATTTATTATAGTTTACCAATTTCAATATATATATTTATGTATATATACTTTATATTTATAAGTATAGTATATATATGTATGTATTTTTTTGTAAAGCAGGAAGTTTTAGGATTCGCTTGAGTTGCACCTTTGGCGCCACAAAAATCTTATATTTTGTCGATTTGCATTTTGTTTTTTTTTTTTTTTGTTTTACGTTTTCTGTTTTCCGTTACTATACATACAACATTGATGTACTTAAAATGAACACACACATTTAGCTATATAATGTATACATATTATTCAGTTACTTCATGTCTTCCAAAAAGAGGTACTAACTTAGATAGAAACGAGTAGGAAAGAAAGCTATTAAAGCAGACAATTGAACGAAAGAAAAATAAAGAAAAAACACAAATTTTCTCTCCTTCGGGACAATAAAAATGGCACAAAAATTGATTCCGCATGGGAGAACCACAACAACAACAACAACAACAATCCGAACTTAGGTGAAGCTGTACTGATTATCAACGGCCCGTCCAGTGCATTCGGCGCCTCCCCCTGAACCCGATCCACCGCCGACAGCACCGCCGCTGTTGTTGCCACTGTCGCTGGGATGACGCGATTGTCCCGCCGGATGCTGCTGCTGCTGGTGATGATGGGCGGCCGCCTGCAGAGAGGCATTCGAGGCCCGCAGATGCGGCTGGTCCAGAAAGCTCTGGCCGGCGGCCGGCGGCGATCCGTGCACGGTTAGCGTTGTGGGATCCAAATGGAAATAGACTTGCTCCGGAAAAAAGACGTGTGTTGGCTCCTGTGGCAGTTCAATTTCATTTGTCTTTAGGCGAACACTAAGATTCATGGTAATCACTTCGTTGCACTGTGGGTCGAAGGAGAAAAAGATGGGAATGATTAGTTAATAATATAATTTTAAAGAGTAGCTGGGGGTGTGGTGAAAAATGTGGCATGCAACAATCAACTCAAGCATTCAAACTTAAGAACACAGGAAATAATTTAAGTTATTGATTGTAGTCTCTTTAAATGATCTTTCCAAAATGATAAATATAAATTAGGGTTTATTAAGAAAAAGACAAAAATAAATCTATAAGAAATCAAGCTTAATAAAAGTAAAGAAATTTATAGAAAACACAATGATTTAACCTTATTTCCTTTTTGTTCTTTAAATAGTTTTTAAGCAGTTTACGTTAAAAAACAAATGATCTATAATCTGGGCTTGGAATGAACATATACCAAAGGAATTTGGCAAAATTACTAGATTAGATTGCATTTACTAGACTTGATTTACTAATTTTTCAAATCTTTGAAGATTTCTTTGGATGCCACTCATTCATCAATACCTTTCACAGTTGCAATGAAATGATAAGAACTTAACATAAATCAAAGTAAAATAAAAAACCATCACTGACACTGAATTGACTCCAAAATTTTGGCTATCTCACATGTCTCGGCGACGGATGGCCACCGCCAGCAGCTCCCGCTCCCGATCCCGCTTCATTCGATCGCGATCCCTGTCCATTCATGTTGCCATTTCCATTGGATCCTCCACCCAGATCGTTGAGCTGTCCGGATTCGTGAGTCGATCCTCCGGAAGAGGCCGATGTGGGATCGTTCAGTCTGCTGTTGTTGTGCACCCAGTCGGTAAGCGTGACATCCGAGGTGCCGCCCGATTCCAAGGGTATCGGGTTGTGGCGGAAATGTTCGAGCATCTCCTGGATCGAGGGGAACCAAAGGTGTTGCACCCGGCACTGACCCTTCTCCGAGATGGTGAGCCGCAGGTGTTTGGCTCGCCCCTGGAAGTTGAAGGTCAGAACGAACTCTCCGCGTCGCGTTTCGCTTTGGCGGACCAAAAAGTAACCATGTCCAGCTGCCTCGGACTGTAGAACCATGCGTGCCGCTTCGGAGCGCGTCAGTGTGCCATGGAACCAGGGGAACAAGCTCATCTCGGCGGTCAGGTCCGCCACATTCACGTCCGCTTCATTCTCAGCGAGCTCAATGCCATCAAAGTTGCTTGAGGCCGACAAGCGCTGCTCCCCTCTGTGCGGTCTGACGGGTATATCCGGCGGACCTGAGGGCGGAGTGGTGCCGAGTTCGTTGATGGCATTCAAGTCGCTGGCGGACGTTGCACCTCCCTGGCCCAGGGCACTGTCCGCCGACAGGGACGAGGCCAGAGGAGCACCCACAAGATTCCCGTTGGAGCCGCCCTGCTGGTGGTACTGCGGATTCTGTATGGCCCCAATGGGATTGGGACTCGGATTCGGGTTTGTGGGCGACGTTTGCATGGCCGCCGCCATAACGCCATCCGATTCGATCAGTGGCTGTTGCGTGGGCGGCGTTCGCATGCAATAGCGGATGGTGGCCAACCAGCTGCGCATCTCCTCGGCATTCTCCGCCTCGATCACGTATTCCATGTTGTTGTCCGCCTTGAGGACAAAGGTATTCAGCCTGTCGGGCATCTCCATTTCCGTAGTTTCACGCGCCTCCGAGATGAGGAAACAAAAGACTCCACTCCGGGGCTTCGTGGACTTGGGTGGCGTGTAGAACTCAAGCATATATCCGCCGACTGCTTTCACCAGAGCCAATCGACATTTCTCCCACTTCTGAGAGCCCGTCGGCTGGTCGAGACTCTCTGGCGTCAAGTTGTTTACGATGCCCTCCTTGCGGCATTCGACCACGATCTTGGCCAGCTTGGTTTTGCTCTGCTTGCTGCCTCCACCGCCGCCGTCCACGTCGTCGGAGTTCTTGTGGAAGAAGGCCTGCATCAGAGAGAACTTGGAAAGTTAAAAGGGGTATGGACAATATAGACGGAGTTTCCGACTATCAAAAGCCCGGTATTCCCATAGCTAAGGAGCTATTTCAAGCTTTACATGCTATAGAAGAAGTTCTTCATAAATCTTGATATAAACTTGAGTTATCAGCCATCGGAATTCTGCATTAAATGCCAAGAATGTCAAAGTGAATGTGCTTATCTGTAATTTATACTTTGCGAGTCTGTTGATATCTTTTATCAGCCCGGAACACGACAGTTGGATTATATGGCATTATCAGGAAATATGCGGATGTCTTGAATGATTCAAATAAATGTTTAAGGCTTTAAAATTTAGTATATAATAAAACTAAACCCTATAATGATGTCTGTGAGGTACATCTTTACCCTAAAATAAGATTATTATCCACGACTCACCTTGCCCTTGCGCAGTCCCTTAAAGGAGAGTCGCCTCAACAGAGACTTGGAGAGCAGTCGCGGCACCTCATGCTCCTCATCAAAGTCCAGTGACCCGGCGCCCGTCTTCAGGGTACTTCGCCGCCTAAAGAACTCTGTGTCATAGTGCGCCGAGAAGGATTCCACAAACTTCTGGGCAAAACTTCGGTGCTGTATGTTACGCGCTTCCTCTGGCGGCAGATTGCCATTGATGTATGTGATGCAGGCCTTGGCGAAATCAGAGGCTGCCACCCTGGCATGCCGTTCGCAGAATTCCTCCCAGCTGGTGCCACCGTACGCGTAGGAGGACACGCCCATGGCGTTTCCGGTTCCAATTGGCGCCGGAATGAGGTCGCTGCCACCAGCCACTGCCGCTGCCGCCGCCGCTGCCGAAGATGTTCCCAGGCTGTGATGGCTGCTAGCCGATGTGGGTCCAATGTATCCGCCCGCGCTAAAGGCGCTTGAATTGGCTCCGGTGCTGTTGCCGCCCATCTGACCAGGATAATGGCCCGCCAGCGGTTGCTGCTGTTGTTGTTGTTGTTGGTGTTCCTGCTGCCTCTGTCGCCGGCGGTTCAGGTTCCGTTTGCTGCACGAGTTACCCAGCTGGAGTCCGTTTCAAAAAGAGCTGCAATGGAGACAAAGGTGCTGCTGGGGCTTAGTCATTCGGATTTCAGGGGAAAGATTAGTAGCAGGCTCATGTGTAGGTAGATGTATCTTCTTGCAGAATGCTTGAGCATGCACATTTTGGGATACTCTTAAATTTGAATATATTTTGGGAGATACAAATATTATTACTAAAGAATATCTTTCTGTTACATCCTTTTCTTAGTTTATATAATAAAAAGAATATGAATACGCTATACATGAAAAAGGATATTATTTATTATGAATACTTTAAAATATATGTGGATTATTAAGGCATAAAAAACAAATTTTACCAGAATGACAAATTTGTTTTCTAATTTTGGTAATCAATTTCGAGTGTCTGACTCACAGGATTAAGTTAAAAAACAATGATAACTTCACAGTTCCGCTAAAGTGGGGAATTTTAGCGCCACTATGAATGTAAGAAATTTGATAAGATCGAAATTAATAATACATTCACAAGAATAAATGTATGAATTTAACAATTTATTTTAGACTTCCTTGATTTAAGAACGAAAAATAACAAACATATGTAAATATATATTCTTAAGACGTAATTGTTTAAATAAATAAATTAATTTCCTTATTACTGACATGTTTTTCTAGGTTCTTGTTTACAATTAAACTATTGCTAAATTAAAATCCCAAACAAAAATCAACTTCATCTTTTTAATCCTTTTTTTCTTTCCACCGACAATGAAAAACAAAACGAAAACAAACTTGCGGCGTAGCCCACACAAACACAAGCGCGCACTCCCCCGTACGCGCACACGCACACACACACCCACACCCGTGCGGCGGTGAAAAAATTTCCCACAGGAATTTCCACGCCTACGCCACATCCGCATGCACCTTGACCTGGCAAAGGAATCGCGTCCTGGCCATATTGTTCGAGTAACACTAATCAATGACGCCAAAACTTACATCGGGGATTGAAAGTGGTCTAAATGCACGGCATCTTCTTCAACATTTATTTTTTACACAAATTGCATGTTATCTCGCTCGCACACTCACACACTAGGACGCACTGCAGACTGCTCGAAATATATTCTTTTGCGTTGTTGTTCTCGGGTTTCAGGTCATAATTGTACGCCGCGCGCGAATCTCAAGCTGCAGTCTGCTTTTAATATTATTTAATTCTGGTTTGTTTTTATTTTTTTGCGATGTAAAACGGAAAATTACTCGGAGAGTGCGGTGTGACCGTTGGACTGTCCGTCCATAATACCGAAAAGCGGCAACTGGTCACACCGAGTTACCGGCGCTGCCAGTCGAGAGGGGAAATGAGTTTTTCCCAGTTTTCTGCCTGTGAATACCCAAATTTATGAAATAAATATACGAGAAAATAAGATTTTCTGTTGAAAGAGTGGAAAATTAGAGTTAAAGTAAAGGAATTATCATAAAGCTGTGTTGCCAGATCGCGTGAAGAAAATTGCGGTCTTGTGCCAAGGTGGCCAGACTGCACATGGAATATATCGTACGATATTCAATTCAAAAAAGTACCGTTACTTAAAAAATTCTATTAAACTTTTATTATACGTTTTAGGAATTTATAAAAGCGACATTTTTCTTTGTCTATAAGGAAAAACAACAAATTTTTGTTTAAATCTCACATTTTTATTGTTTCTATACGTTTCGAAATTGCATTTACTTATAATTAATATGTAACTATCGTTTCCATATGCGTACAGTAATTATTTATTGTTAGCTGCATTAAATGTAAATAATTAAAATTCTTGAAACTTAATTGTTGTGAAACACACGCAGTGCAACAGTTGTTGTCTATCATTAATCTTTATTTTGTTGATTTATTGTTTGCAACGAACACATGCATTTTGGCAAAATATTTGATTGTGAGAGTGGGCGGTGAGGGGGAGTGGTGAAGGGCAAAGGATAAGGGAGAACACCGACGGAGGACGGAAATGGGCGTGTGTGAAACGGAAACGCGAATTAATGTGTATGAAGGCGAGCTTACTAACTATTATTTGTTGCATGGTGGTTTGTTATCAATACATACGTATATATATTCTCATCGTTATGCATTATCAACTTAAGTATATTTACAGAACATTTTGCCCGGAACAGATTTGTGAGTGTGTATGATGATTGGATGCGGCTAAAATTCGAATCTCAAACTGTTTTCTAGGCTCTCGCTATCGTTTACAGATATAAACTATGAACTGTAACTAATATTTCGCTTGATCTTTGCTCTACTCGCTAATTATCTGCATGATTTGAGACTTTAAAGCCAATCTGAATGAACTATGCAATTAGAAAACCTTTCGCTTATGCTAAAAACTATAATTACTCGGTTTTTGCTTTTATTTCACTATGAAAACGAGGATCACCTAACTTAAAACGAAACTTAGTTAAGTTGAGTTAAAAAATACATACTCAATACGTTATGTAAGAGACAAACGTTAGTATTAGATCTTATTTATGTGTGTTTTTCTTCAATTTGTTTGTTTTTCTTTGCTTTTAGATAGAGTACACTCAGACTTCCAGTTGTTTTGATGGTTGTTGCGCGATAAAGGGTTCGCTCCACATGCGACGCAGGTCGCCCTGCAAGACAAGAACATTATCGATATAGATATAGGTTTGGGAAGCAAGAATCTATAGACAGTACCTTCAGATAGGCCATCAGCAGGAGGGGCAATAACGTAAACGGCACCAGATACAGCAGTGCCGGCTGAGCCGCCTTGAAGACCTCGGAGCTAACCGTTGCCGTTAGCAGACCCAAGAAATAACTACGCGAAAATGTACAATAAATATAAAATAAGAAAAAATACTTCCAACAGATATTTTGACTCACCCCAGTAAGGAACAATGAAAGTATGTCAGCCGGGAGCCAACTCCCCTGGGTGGCGACAATGTTGGATCCGAGGTGACGCCCTGCGACTTCTTGTACGCATCATACCGCAGGACGAAGCACAGCAGCAGTCCGGGCATCACCACATCGCCGAGGCCCAGCATGGAAAAGTGACCCGTATTGTGAATGCTGGGGAAGACCAGCTTTCCAGGCAGATTCAGCTTCGGTGTGTCCCGCACAATACCGCCCAAGTTCAACTTGCGAGCCACGATGCCAACTGGATTTTCCGCTGGTCGCGTGGCCACCTTAACCATCACGTTGGTGCTGAAGATGTACGAGGAGAGGAATACCCAGAAGACGTCGTAGATGAGCAGGCCGGTCAACAGCAGCGTGGACACCTTCAAGCTGGGCAGACGCACAAATGCAATGAAAGCCACACAAAGGCCCATTCCCATAGCTGAATATAGAAGGAAAATATTATTATCACAAATAATTGGTAAATTTTAATTCAAATCTCACCATCCATCAGCAGCCAGTGGCCGGTGAGCACCCAGATGCACACAATAGACACGGAGAGCGTAAAGCTAAAGAGCTCCGCTGCCGTGAAACGGCCACAGATGCCGAAGGAGAAACGCTTGCCGTCCGTGCACGGCCGAATGATGTACTGACACATGGGCAGGAGCAGGAAGGCTAGCGCCACGGTGGCAATGACTGTGAGGGGATAAGGGAAATAAATAATGAGTATTGTATTTTATCCCAAAGAAGGTTATACTCACTGGCTGTGCAAACTGCAAAGAGCAGCTGCATCGAGTCAAAGAAGAAGAACATGATGAGCAGTGATATGGAAGCTCCGAGGGGCAAACATAGGGCATGCATCGTGTCCAGGGTGGCGAATTTATCCGCTGTGAAAAAGGAAACTTAGAATGCATAAAATTTCCCCAGTATTTTCTGTTGAACTTCACACATACTTGGCTCCTTCTCGACATGCTCGCCGGTGAGTAGGTTGGTCATCGACTCGTTGCGCTTCTTCTGCTCCCGTTCGCGGGCCTCCTGCTCGATGTTGAGGGATCGAAAGCTACCGTATACGATCAGCAGCATCGAAATGAGGCAGGTGGAGACGCGCGACGAGTCCATTACACTCGATACTGTCCAGTGGAGTTCACGGTACTCTCCGCCAGCTCCGCCGCCACCCGCTGCTGCTGCCGCCGCCGCTGCTGCACCGCCACCGAGATTGCCGGCACCCACAGTTTGCGCTCCCAGACCGCCGCTGCCGCCGGCGCCGCCGTGCGACATGCTCCCTCCGGATCCTCCGGATGGTATCCGCTGATAGGCTCGGGCTGGTCGCTGCTCTGCCCGGGCTCCGGTTTTATCGGTGAAGTTCAGATAGCTACTCCGCTTATCAGTCGACCTGCGCCGGGTTTATCGCGTTTTATGTCGCTGCGCCGCTTCAATCTAAACACGGATGAAAAGTGAAATTTATTTTGGTTTATTGATTTAGCGATAACGGTTCTGTTTATTGACCTTATCGCAGGTAACCCCCAGCTGATGCGCCGCTTGTGTTTGCCTCCCAGAGGTTCTTTAGACAGCTGCGATTAGGGGTTTTTTTTTCGGAACACACACTCCACTCCGAAGGTTTCTTTTCCACGACTTTGTCTAAAGTCGAGCTCGGAAGCCTTGGGGTCAACTTTCACACCAGCACACACGAATTAGGCAACCAAAATAAATAATGGCGTTCTAAGCACTTGGAAAAAAACGAGTCGAATGTATAGGGTGATATATAATAACATCTGTACTGCTATATCATAAATATACTCATTTTTATTTAATATTTAAATTTTATAATTAAGTAGAGGTAAATGTTTAATAACAATGTATGAATTTAAGTTGTTTTAGTTAAGAGATAAAATTTTTACAATGCGTATTTAAATGAATTTAAAGCAATGCATAAAAAGAGATCAATAAAAGGCTTACGATTATTTTCGAATTAAATATATTATTCAGTTAAATGTGCAATATATGTACATACATACATATGTATTGATATCTATGCAGGTTTTTAACCTTTAATATTTACTAATAGATAGGATAGATAAGATTCGACATTGGCAATAAAGGCAATGGGTTTTTCCCTGTTTCCCCATATATATCAATAATAAACGATATATGTATATATATAAATCCAATAAAATGTATCATAGAATACTTGAGAAATTTGTTTGATTTTGGATTGTTACTCAGGTGTTTAATAATCAATATTTACACAAGTAGAATTCAACACCCCGCATAGGTGACCCTCGGCTTTCAAGGGAAAAAGTGAAAACGAAGCTAATTAAACACTAGTTTTGCTACGTAAACTGTAGGTTCGAATCGAAAATGTATAGCTTATAATATTTAATGTTCGATTATACAGAGAAACCAAAACTAACTCATTTCGGAGAATGTTTACTTTACACAGTTATAAAATTAGCGGGACCAATGGCAATGCATCCATGCACATGTTCATATCAAATAAACAAATATATATCAGGTCTATATATAGAAACTTTATTTTATTTCCTTCCCATTTCATTTTTACAGGGGTACACTGAGGAAATGGGCAAAAGCATTTAAATTGGATAAAAAAAAATATATATAAATAAGACATCTATAATGAAATTTTTATAAAAAAAATTTTGTATGTCTATCCACATCTAAAATAATTTGCAACTAATTTGATCATAAACAATAAACAGAGTTTTTCACAGTGTTTATCACCCATTCCTTGCTAACATACGGTTTCGTTATGCCTCTGCCCTAAGGTAAAAATAACAAGTGGAACCTGTGTGAAATACTAACAGTTTGTCCACATGGGATTTACCTTGCAACAACAATAACAATTAACCGTCTAGAAAAGGGCCATAAAAGACTAAGAAATTAGAATAAATTATAAAAGCGTTACCCAGTTTCCTACGCTGCCAATTCCATTGTTATTGCCACAAATGCTACAGTATTTTCACACACACACACACAGACCTCTGCCCCACTCGCACACCCACGCCGCCGGGTTGTTGCACTTGGGGAATGTTAAGGCGCTGTTATTAGCGTGGCGCTCTGTTAACTCGCTAATGATAATAAGAGTCAGTTGTTGTTGTTGCATGTTGCCAAGTGCCGTTGCTCGCACTACTTCATGTTGTCTGCATGTTGCAAAAGCTGCACTGGTATCCGTAATTGTGTTTGTGTGTGGAATGCAAATGATTGAAATTATGTACACCAGCGGTTAAATGTCTATATCATAATTGAGCTTCTAAAATGATCGCAATAGGGCTGATTTAAACTAGAGATTAAATTTGAGAGCTAATGATCATTAGAAAGATTTTATTGGAAATTATTCTATTGTCTCTATTACTTTTAATAGCCACTAATCTAATGCACACAATTGTAAATATGTGTGTTTCTACGACTGTGACGGTATTTGTCCCCCTTTTTCCTGTCTTCTTCTCTCTCCCTCTCGCTCTCTGGATGCAACAATTTAAGTTTCCCACACACTGCAAATAACAGACAAAGAGGTGGGGGGAATTGTTAACGAGCGCTAATTAGAATTTAATTATGTGAGGGGTGTAAAGTTACACTCTCCAGAGGTGACACACTCTCCAGAGGTGGAGACTTTTCACAGCTTAAAGCGGTTACCGAACGTGAACTACATAATTGGCCAAACTCATTGAGAAAATGCCGCTCACATCACACCAACACCAACACACTCGCACGCACACACAAACACTTTCTAATTCGAAACGCCCCGAAAAGGGGGAACAGAAATAAAAGAAGTACCAGGCAATTGGATTTGTAACTGTGAAAGTGAAATTTGCCAAGATACAGGGAAGGAGCAGGGGCGTTGCAAGGGGGGATGCATGACAGGGGGAGTACACTAGTTTTGTACACAAAACTACAGTTTAATTAAGACACATTTAAAAAACCAAATACTTCTAATATATAAAATAACTAAGCCTTTGCAATAAAGCTTAAGATCATAAAATTTTAAACCTTAAATAATATTCTATAAAATCAGTATCTTAAAAAATAGATAACGATGTGTTTACTGTTGTTTTTCACTGTGTACTGGACGCGGAACGACTAAAATCAAGTGCGTAAAGTAAGCGAAAAAGTTTAGTTGTTTTCCATTATGCAAACGGGGAAGGGGGTGGTGCAGAGAGGCAGGGGGCAAAGACAGGCTTTGCAGCGCTTGAGAAATTTTTATACGAATGGAGCTTAGGCTGCGCTTTAAGGTTTTTTTTTGTCGTTTCTTCGTTTATGGTTACACTCCACTTCATTTCACAAAACTCCAACTTCGCTCCACTGCGTAACAAAATTACAAGACACACACACACACATACATGTACTTGTGTATACATATATACACTTGCAGCGCAGCAAACAACAACAACAATGAAAGGAGCAGCGAAGGGAAGGGGAAAAAAGACTTGACTTGAATTACACTAACAAAATATACTCCCTCAGTATTTGGGGGACTTCTCGCTTACTTTGCTTCACATTCACTTTCGCATTTGGCTGTATTTTCCTCTGCTTCTGCTTTTTTGTTTTTTCTCTTGCACCGATTTTCCTTTTTTCTTCGCGAGAAAACTGTCTGCTCCGCTACATTTTCACGCGCTTTTCACAGCCCTGGTGATGGAGGCCCGTTTTTTCTGCACATTTTCACGAGTTCTTTTCGACGGCCGCTGTTTAACGTTGGACAACCATTTAAAAAATGTATTTATTAGTAACTAATCGCGGTGTTGTTTTTGTTGTTTTTCGCAGTGTGCCCGGCGGGTCTTCTGGGAAGAAAACCCGAATTTTCCAATGCACCTGGCCACATAAAGGGGTTTAAAAATTGGCTATTTGCCGTGGATCGAACCTTTTTGAGATCTGGTACTTTTGGTCGCTGGGACCGAAAAGTCTGGCAACTCTGGTTAGCTGGGACCGAAAAGTCTGGCAACGCTAACCAGCGTTGCCAGACTTTTCGGTCCCAGCGACCAAAAGTACCAGACTGTCGTATGTTGACGGTTTTCGATCAAAAAACATCGATAGTAAAAAAAATCGATGTTTTGAAAACATCAAACATCGATAGTTGCGATATCGCGGTTTTGCCACCTCTAGATGCGACGCTGCCGAGTACAAATAAAATTTTAAATAAATCGCTCGCAACGGTCTATAACAGCGGCTCAAATCGCAGGTTTGCTTCCGGAAAATCTGATAAATCCGAAAAGATAAAGTGCGCCGATCCGAGAGTGTGGCGAAAAGTGTGAAAGTGAAAAAGTGCAGTGCGTCGCTGCAGTCCCACTCCGTTTTCCTGCCACAAGCATCTCGGTGGTGGCGACCAAAACCAGTTAAACCAAAGCCAGAAAAGAACAAATCCCACATCCGCCATGGGGCTCAACGGCTGCTGTTCGTGCGTCAAATATCTGATGGTCCTTATAAACATTTTATTCTGGGTATGTGTAATGTAGGCGACACTAACAAATCCTGATGGTCTCTGCCCTGGCTCTCCCATCACAACAACAACTGGAACACACGGACCTCAATCTCTGCACGCGCGTGTGTGTGTGTGTATGTGGGTGTTTTGGGCGAGCTTGTGCTTGTATGTTGTGTATTCCCTACGCCCCTGGTTCAGTGGGGCGTGGGGAGGGATAGGGGCCATGCGCACGCTCTTTGAGAGTTGCTCCTTTGGTGTCCTATCGTCTTCTCGGGTTCGCTCTCTTCCCGCTCAGAGATGACAACAAATAAGACTGGGTTTTAATTAATAAATATTTGAAAACAAAAAAAACGAAAGAAAAGTGTTATATTTGGTTGTTAAAGTTATTCGACCAATTAAATACTTTTTTTTTAATTTATAAAATATATCTTGCAAGAAATTAAATAGTTATACTGCAAAAAACATTTTTTTATGATAACAAATTATAAATTCTGATAACGTTAATCAATTAAAGTTATGAAAACGTTCTAATTTTCAAGCTATATCTTTCGATAAGAGCTATGTATCCACCACTTGCTCCTCTTTTCCTATTTTCGCTGAGTAGCGCTCTCGACTCCTACTCCCCCACAAACAATAGAAGTTCCGTTGTAGGAGGAGTGAATGACACACACACACATATGTACACCCGCACGCCCACAAACACCCACACAGACAGATATTGAGGCATCTCCCTCCCCACTTCGGGCTCTTTTTCTTTTCCCGCCTCTCTCCCCTTATACACGTTTGTTCAGTTGTTTTTCTTCGGCTTCTGCCTTTTCCTGTTGTTTTTCTGTTTTTTATTATTTTTATAACGTATACGTGCGTTTGATATTTTTACAAACTTCAGCGGGGGTTTATCCAGTATCCAGTAAAAAAGGATCTAAATTAGGCACCCCACCCTGCAAATCCAAAAGGGGTTTATTTTATTTGTGTTTTTACGCAACGTTTTTGACTTTCTGACTTTCAACATTGCCTCGGCTTTCAATTGTTCATTCAATTATTGTCTGTTTGTGTTTGTTTTCCCCCAAGTCTTCTTCCACTTGCGAAATCAGTTTCGCTTTTCCTTTGGGCAACAAATTTAAGATTTTTGATGCTTATGCTGCTGGTTGTTTTGAATTTTTTTTTTCGGCTTTGGTTTGTTGATTGTTGCTGCCTTTTTTCGATTTCTGTCTATAGTATTTATTAGTCAAAAGCTATTTTCGAATACGGACGAAAAACAACAAAAACATATGCGTCCGCTCATAGAATACGGCAAATACACTGAACAATATTTGATTTTTTATTAAAATAAATTTAGAAATGAATTGTAACTGTTTTTAATTTATGCTGGAAAGCTTTTTATAAGTATTTCTTGAAGTATTTCCTAATTAAGACCCTCAGATATATTTTATTAAATATAAAACTAAGCCCCATTTTCATTACAAAAGCTAATTCCCCTACTACTAAGACCCGGGCCACTTTGTATTCTTCTAATTTAATGTAATAATTCAGGTAAACAGATCAATTGTGTATCTATTGATGTAATTCCTGTTAATATCTTTTCTTATCTTATCTTATTCTATCTTACTTATTTTCGGTGTAGTTTTTCTTGGCCTGTGATGTCTTTGTTTTCGTTGTTTTTGTTTGTTGCACAGTGGTATGTGTTTGATGTTTATAGAAGGCAGCAAAATGTGATTGAATTTGTGATGCAGTTTGTTTCACTAATCGGTTGAACTATTTTTAGAGCGATCTATGGACTGAAAGTGCGTCAGAAATGTATAAATATAGCTGTACGCTAGCCAGTCATTGGTTTAAGTGTATTTTTAACATATGGAAGGTTATAAATAATGAAATTTATTGAATTAGACATTAATAAGTAATGCGGCAACAGGCATTTAACGATTTAATAGCTTCTATTTGTCATAATTATGTTAGAAACAGAAAATCAAAATCGAATCAGCAAAATATATTGATTTTAAGATTTAATATACTCAAAACCAACATTAATTCCGCCTAGGAACTTTGAAATATGAAAGTTATATAATTAACTTGCTTTATAAAACTAAGATTATATTAATTAAATATAGATTGTATTTTAAATTACCTTTTGAGGCATTTGAAAATGTTATAACCACTGTCCTGCAATCGATTCAAATTCGATTTCCTCTCCACTGTGCGCATCGGTTTCCAAACATTTCCATTTTCATCGTCGCCGTGGGGCATCGTGATCAAACGGCACGATCTCTGAGGACGCTGACGTTCCACAATGATGCCGAGATCCAAGATCCCAGATTTTGAGATGCCGGGAGGTCGACGGCGAGCGTCTAAAATGCTAAAATGCCGCCACCGCCGCTGCCGTCATTGAAGTTGACAGTGACCAAAAAAAAGCTGTCCGTTGGCCATCTGACAAGACTTGCGCCCCCTATCCACCCAACGAAAAGCAATTCATTTACTTACAGTGGAGTCTTTTTAAGTGAAAAATGTAGGTAATTCAATGGGTTCATAAGAGTTTATGCAAAAAGAATAATTGTATTATCCCTTTTAATCAAGTTTAGTTTCAAAGTTCTATACTTTATATATTTGTATTTATTAAATCCCTTGGACAAATATTTATTAAATTTATGATTATCTTAATCTATCAAGTTCAAAGATCCTTACAAAATATATCACCTTTAACCTTCCTAGGGAAAACCTAATTCTGTCTTAGGAAAGGTCGCCTGTATCTATTTCTGTCTCTTCTACATGCATAATTCACTGTGCTATTTTTCACTCAATTATTCATAAGTGGCGCTTCATTCATTTTTCATTTTTCATTTATAGTTTGTATTTTGCAAACTGTTTGCTGGCGCGTCTGCAGTTTGGAATCGATGCGGTTAATTGTGGCACAATAACGACAACTGGACATGCATATGGCAGAGCCAGCTGCACTCTTGTAACCCTCTTTTCGCGTTGTAATTTCTCGAAGCTCTCTCGTTTTCCGCCTGTCGACGCCTCGGCTCTGAAAAGTGGGTCAACGAAGGACTTTTATTAGCCGCTCGTTTGTTTGTCATGGACACGCGACATGGTGTCAGGATATGTACGAGTTTCTGTACGTACCGAGAATCGTAAAACTGCAACAAACATAGCTACAAATAAGGCGTGGATTTCATTCGTACACGGAAAAATGGAATTGATTTGAAATGGGGTCAGTTTTTTGTAAAAGTTTTTTGAAATGTAAATCGTTTAGAGAACTTTTCACAGAACTTTAAAGTGGTTTTATACGAAATTGAATTTTTGGTAATAGGGGTTATAGTATTAGAGTAGTAAATTATTTAAAAAAAATATCTATTTTTAATTTTAAACTCTCTTCTATCTAAGCATTTCAATTTCATAACAATCTCTCAAAATTGCAAAAGTTATTTATATGCTGGTTATGTTGCCATCATTTTTTGTTACTCAATAAACAGCCCTCGAATGGTGCAACATTGTATTACATTTCCACAAACAGTTTTTCCGTTAGCTGCACTCACGCAGACAGCCACACTCATATATGAACTTTTAGGGCGGCAGTATCGTGCACTTTGTGTGGCACACTTTTTGTCCCACTCGCTCTCCGGTTGCAACTGGGTTTTTCCATTTTCCATTTTCCATAGCTTGCTCTTTCGTGGACCACCCGCATAAAGCCGGTCTCCGGTGCTTCCTCTTGTGTTTCATTAGGTTTTCATGAATTTTTGCGGCACTCTTTGTTGTTAAGTCACTCTCACTTTCCGGCTGCCTTTTTCTCTGGGGAGCTGTATCTCATTTTTTTATGTTTGAGCGCCAAAAATAATGGGATTATTGAAACTCTGGGGTGAGGCTTGAATTAACCCTCTCGGTCTCATAAAGAATAATGTTTAAAATTCGTACACTATGAGAAATGGTAATATTTTACATCATTTTCGTCAAGTTAAAGTCTAGACTTTGTAACCTAAAAGACCTTGTAATAACTGAAATAATTTCCAGCTATGCTGCGTAATCTTATCAAGTAGCATGGATGCTAGAAATGCTCTAGATTTCTTGGCAATACGAAAACTCTACAGTAAAGGAAAAATACTTAGATAAGATATGTTTTTCTGTTTTGAAATTCTTTTCAGTTTGCTTCCGTTTGCAGGTGGCTTTTAAATTTACATATTTTCCCTTATAATAAGTTCTCTTGTTTACATCTCTTGATTAGTTCTCATCGCACACTCAATTTCCTTGAGATGAATATTTTAGCTGAATAATTAATGAACGTATATATACACACACTCACTCTGACACTTGTGTGTGCCTCACCTATTAAGTCATTAGCTCTTTATTAGATTTTCACACTCATTGCACGAACTTAAATTTAAATGCAACATTTTCATAGATGATTTGCTTGCCCTTTTCAAGTTAAGTGATTCAATTTTTATACAGAAAATTCAATTGAAGAAGGAGAATCATACAAATTTTTCTAGTTAATTTTTAAAGGGGGAATAAGTTTGCAATTTGTAAGCTGATAAGGCGAGGAAACGATAAGAGCTAAAAGCGTCTCAGCTTCTCGTTGGGATCAATGTTCTGAACCTATAAACTGATAAGCATATACATATGTAGATTTAACAAAAAATAGAATAATAATTTGCACATTGTTTCTGTACCTTTTTTTTGTTTTCATATTTATTTTTTCACTATATAACAGTACTCTCCCAATTTAATTAAATTAAAAGCAACAAAATCACAAAAGTCAAGTAGAATTTCATGCTGACATCATAAGTTTGGACTCGGGGTAGTCTATGGGGAGGGAAGACCTCCTCCCACTTTAATTGCCGCCTTGCCAGATGGCGTCATTGGCGCGTGTTCCCAGTGTGTTCCAATGCAACTTTTATAAATTTTACAATTTTACACAGAAAATGCGTAAAGTCTATACTAAAAATAACTTGTACTTATAATCGGTCTCTGATTTCGCTTGCAGCTCATTGGCCTGACCATCGTGGTCACATCCGTCTGGATGCTGACAGATCCCACGTTCATGCTGTCCATGACACAATCCTACAATCATTACCATATAGCCCTCTACGTTTTCCTGGGCATCGGCATATTGATCACCCTGGGCGCATTCTTCGGCTGCTGGGGCGTGTGCCGAGAGTCGCAGTGTCTGCTGGTTTCGGTAAGTAAAAATGGAGTAAAAAAATTATATGGTAGTCCCAATGTCTGGAAATTCCAATTAAACTGGATGCAGTTGTGTGGCCCACACAGCTAAGCTCGCATAATTGCAGCGGAGGCTCGCCCACAATGTCTGGGCAAGACTGCCAATCGTTGCACTCAAAAAATGGGGGATAATATGCGAAATCTCTAGCTTAAATCCTTGAATAATATTAAATAAACTGATTAATAAAGCTTTTTAAATCTTAAAGTAAGTTTAAAATGGAAATAAACTCAAGCAAAACCTGCATTAAATTTTGTTTTAAGGATTTTAAACCTATAAAATCTAAAAATAATTATTTTTATACAAGGAATCATTGAATTTTTCAAAGAATTATAGCTTATCATTAGGGTTTCTGCTTATTTCCAGTGTGAATAAATCTTTCTTAAATGTCAACGAGTTTATTAACCCAACGCCCACTAGTGTTTCCACGAGCATTCATTCATAAATCTGTGATTGCTCTTACAGTTCTTCTGTGTCATACTCATTGTGATGGTGGCACAAATTGCAGCCGGTGCCTGGGCCTTCCACAATAAAGATAAGCTGGATGACATTGTCCGGGCGGCCGTCAAGTCCTCAGTTCAGGAGGAGTACGGACAGTCCACCATGAGTTCGCGCACCGTCACATTCGATACGCTGCAAAAGAATGTAAATATTTGGACATATGCCAAAGCTCACAAGAAACCTGATTTATATTATCTTCTTTCAGTTGAAGTGCTGCGGTGCCGATGGACCTGGCGATTGGGCCACGAGTCGTTTTAATAACGTGGATCGCACAAATATTGTGGAGATTGCCGTTTCTTCCATGAATGTCTTCTACAATATACCCGAATCCTGCTGCAAAGATGATCTAAAGGATAATGAGTGCGATCTGTCGCGTCGTTTGAAATTTGGTGGTCCCCTAAATGCTGCCATTTATCAGCAGGTAATAATGAGAAGATCCTCTAAGGTGCTGGGTATTATCCCATGTAAACAAATGTCTGAAGTAAACCTAATTTACCATTCATTCAACGCTCTTTTATCGATTCTAAAAACTACCGAAAAAGCCCATTAAAGTCAATTGATAGGTGTGGCCGATTCATAATTTCGCTGGCCATAAAAATTAATGATCATTTACGCATTTGTTGATTTTTCTCCGGCAAGCTCTTCGCTTTCAGCAACTGGGCTAATAAAAATTCACGCCTGCCGACGCCGAGACGATAAAACTGTATTCATTAATATTGATATTCAACACGCATTTCAAAACTTCTGACTGGCTGGGTTTGTTTGTAAGAAAAGAACTCGGGAATGACTTCTATAAACAAACAATTAAAACTTTGTTATAAACAAAAAGCTTATAGATTTAACTCTTATTTCTTACAGGGCTGCGTTGACAAACTGATTGATATAATTTACGAGAACTGGGTCACCATCTTTGCCGTCACTGCCGCTGTTATTCTGCTGGAGCTGCTCTCCCTGACCTTCGCCCTGAGCCTGTGCTGTGCGGTGAGGAATCAGCACTACAAGGCCTGAGAATTACAGAACTCCCATAGGGAAATAACGGACGATGAGAAGTACTAACAAACCAAATCGAAACGGATGCATTGCGAGCGTTATTACTAAAGGCGTGTGCGTGCGAATGGGGGTATATGCATTTAGCAGATAATGTCCGACGTCCCCAGGTCAATACTTTAACAGCAGCAAAAAAAAAAAACGACAAACAACAAGAACAACACGACAACACCACACTTTTGTAGTACTTTTAACCAGAAGACAAACGACAGACAACAAGCTGAGCAATTGTATTTGAGATACGACAACACCTTTTGGGATTTGTGAAGAGTTTTTAAAGCACAACGCGAGGCAATGTCGCGGAAAGTGGACTTTATATGAACTTGATATGCTAGCAGAGCGAGAAAAAACAAAAACAAAATGACACTTTTCTAAACAAGATATTTCTACAACAAACACAAACAGTAAACTTTATATAAACATTAACAAAAGAGGTGGATAATCTATGCATATTTTTTTTTGTTTACATTTTTGGAAAAATCGATGTTCATGTGAATTTATGTTCACTTTAAGTTACAATTTTCCCTGTATAATTAATTTTTATTTGTTTATTTTTGAGACACTTTTGATTACAAATTTAATACATTTGTATGTGTATTTTTTATATATTTTGTTCAATCTTAGCTTTTTTTTACTAAAAATTTAATTCATTTATTTTTATTTTTTTGTAATTACCGCGAACATCGATCTCTGCAATCAATATGTTTCTCCACCTCTAAAAACAAGCTCCATAATACTTAGCCTAGCGAGAATGTTTCGAATTCATAGATTTAATACATAGCATGTGTATTAAATATATAGAAAAACAAAAACATAAGCACAAAAGTATAAAGGTATAAAAGTATAGTGTTAAATGACAAAACCAATGGTTAAATGTAAACAAAATGAAAAGCAATCAAATTTCTTTCAAAATTTGTTCCCCCTGCCCCCCATAAGACTTTTGATTACCAATTAAGTTTTCTTTGTGGCCATTTTCGTACGCTAACACAATGCCAAATGATGTAAGTAACATATGATATAACACACAGCATTCCACAAGAATGAGAATGATTGACAGATTTTTGTTCTGGCTTCAACAAAAAACGCATTGCCATCCAAAGACCCAGCCCAAAATATATATTTTCCAATCATTTTTATGAATCTTGTGCAAATTTTTGTGCTAAAAAAAATCAATTCGTAGAGCTTCACGAAATTAAATGCCAAATATTTTATGTATTTACAAAATTATATTATTATTTATTTATGGTTTATTTTTTTGAGCAAGGAGCAAAAGGAACATCTTAGCATTGAATATGTAATTTATCCTTAATCCTGAAAATAGGACTAGCATCCCTACTGTTTTTAAGTAGTCTTTTTAACTGCTCCAATGAATTAATATTGGGTAATCGTAACGAATTTTGTCGAATCCAACTTACCTGCATCGAAAACAAATTTATTATTTAGACATCTCATTGTGTAAGTGCAACTATTTATAAATGGGAAGTCATCAAAAGTAGCACAAAATGTTAAATGGCAAGTACCAAGCACACAAACAAGAAAAATCTCTATATTTACATTGTATTTTTACCATACACCATCAACTATAATTAATATATATATATATATATACAAACATACATATATATTTTTTGTAACATTTTCATTTTATTGTTGTTATATGTGAATTTTGTTGTTAGTTAAGCGTAGCCTGAACGTCACACTTTGTACCCCCCTCACAACGTCTAAATAAATTAATTAAATAAATTAAATCTACAAGGACAAAATTATATTAAATTTACAAACTAATGAAAGAACCCTAAAATATATTGTATTTAAAATAAATTATTTATTTTAAAATTCTTAGTAAGTCATGGAGTTGAATTAAATACACAGTTCTAGGTTAAGAGAGGAGAAATCTGCATACAAATTAAATTCATGTTCATGTGTTGGATTTGTAGCAAAAAAAGAAAAAATAAGATAAAAGCATTGAAATATTTAAGAAATGCAATTTTCAAATTAAACATCTCTTAACCTTAAGGAGAATTGAATGTAGCAAAATATTTATAGCACAAAAACATCATCAAGCATATAAAATCAAAACCAAAAACAAAAATAAAAGAATCTACTCTTCAAATAACATTAAAAACAATCAACTCGGCATCTTCATAGCATATGGAAACTAAATAGTTTGTATGAAAAAACGGCACATTTCGCAAGAAATCCAACTTAAAATGGATAAAGTTATACAATATAACGATGCTCAAGATCTGTATTTAACAACAGCAATATGTAAAACCGAAACATTGGATATTTGAGGCAAGTAATTGTGAACAGTGCGGCATTAAAACTGATATTTCAAATAAATAAACATACATTTAAACAAATATTTTGTATTCTATGCCAATTTGGGGGAGGTTTAAATGGAAAAGTTCATTTAAATCGGAGATTTTACATACCAAAACCCACCAAATAAAAGTAAAACAACCCAATAAATAATTAAATTTTTATTTTTATTAAAATGTTTATCGGTTTTTATCCATTACCCATTCTGTTGTGAGGCTTTGTTTCAATTACTTTTCTTATCTTTTTTGTTGTTTCTTGCATTATTATTATTATTTAGAGTGGCATAAGAACAGTTATGATTTATTTTTCTTGTTCTAAAACTAAAGTTTCAACGAAATTCGAATGGTTGTGTTTAAGAACTGAGGCATTGACACTCATAAGACCTACTAAAACTACCTACACTTAAGTTTTTCCTAGTTCACATTATCAAACTGAAGGTACATTTTAGTGGATTTACTTTCTCATTCATTTTAATGATTAATTTTTGGGAGAGTTTAATTGTTAATTATTTGGAAAGTTGACAACACATACATTATGTTTCGTTAGGCAGGCTTGAATCAGTTTTTAATGACAAAAAGAATTAAATATTGAATTTACACATAAATGAATTTTTCGTAGCATATGATAGTATTGTTATTTTTATTGTAGTTTTAGTTTAATTAATGTTTCGAGGGTTTTTTTTCCTATCGTTTACTTATTATAAACAATCCAAATCACTAACCACGTTTGCTCTTGTTAAGTTTTAGTTTCATTTATTATTAATTCATAGGGATAGTGTACACAAATGAAATATTTTGGTTAACTTAGAGGATAAACATTCGAGATGGCCGGATGGTAGCGTGGGGATTTTTAACATCTCGGCTTTCATTTACATATACATACATATCGCTTAGGCTGACAAAATTATTATCGTAATTTACATTTACTATAGGTACATTTTGATTTAATTTAGTTTCAACTAAATACGAATTAAAGGTAATGCTAAAAGTTAGTTACACATATTAAGGTCTGGCAACTAGCTATAACAATTAAACGTTGATCTCGACATATAGCATATAGCACAGTGGATATTCGTTCTCGTTCATAATTGTCGTGGACATTTAGCAACTAAAACCGATTTGATAACATCTTCCAATTCGGTTGGTTAAATAAACTTCATTAGGTTTTAAGATTTAATATTATTAGGTATAAGCGTTTCAATTTCATTATTTATTTTGTTGACTAGTTTAGACATTTAGCTTTCGTTCAATTCGAGTGATAGTTTTAATATCAATAAGTATTCCATGTAGGTTTCTTGTTGGACAGTGTACGTTCATATTGCATAGATCGTTTTCTTAAAGTTACAAATCGTTCGTCTCCGTGGGTGGTTTAACAAGTATAGGTCGCATAGGATTTCGTCTAGCCAAGACGCTCTTGCTAAACAAAATGTTCTGGTTAAACTCATTTACTAACTTGTAAGATTATTTTGTTGATGGTTTTGCGAAAAATGGCTTTGCCGTTTGATGGGAGAGTACTTTACTTTTTTTTATTATATAGTTAAGTTATGTCTGAAGAATCGTGGAAGATGTATGTGTTGAAAATGTTACATGAACTTAAGCAAAAAGGTAAACACATCTCTTTCAGAATCAAATATTTCAATATTTTAAATTAAATTTTGTTGGAAAATGTAATGTAACAATTTCTGACTTCAGAAAACCCTTTGTTTTTTTTATTGTATTTATTTTTAACATTTATTTAAGGCTTCTTATGTATGATTTCTGGTACAGAAATATGCTTTTTGTTTGAAGCAACAATGGAAGAACAATGTTTACAACTAAAAGCGGAAATAGGAAATATCAAACCACATTGATTGTCTTCTCTTGTCTATGCACAATTAAGCGTTCAATGTTTATGAGTTTTATAAAAAATCGCGTTCGCTCTTCCTTTTTGTTTTGTAATATTTTCCCATTCAGTGAACAATATTGTTTTCCTCACTTTCAACAGCATCAACTTCGATAGGTTGTTGTGTGTCAAATGGTTGGGCTTTAAAGGAAAAAAAAGGAACCAGACGTGTCCTATGTAAGTGTAAATATTTAATGGCTTTGTGTAATTGAATAAAAATGTAATTTAATTGAAGAGTCATGTTGTGAACTGCAGCTACCATTAACAAATCAGCTGGGCCTTGTATAAATATAAATAATTAAACTGTAATTGTCAAGTGCTATTTTTATATATCGGTGGTTGGCGGCTGGGCACGAAAAAACCCACACATACTTTATTCCATATTTATTTATTCAAGTTTTTTTGTTGCCTTTTAAAACCAATATTTTTAGGAGACAGCTTTATTGAGACAAATTTGTAAATTCAATTAGTGGCTGGACAAAATAATAATTTATGCAAATTGAAAATGAATTTTAATAGAATTAACCGCATGGTGAAGTAATTCAATTTGTCATATTCCGTATGCGTATTTAATGCTTTAATTGACAGCGAAGAAAAAGGCTTTAAATGTTGACAGTTTTCAATACAATAAAATGGGGAAAATATTGGCAAAAACTCAACTGAGGTAACCCTTTAATTGGCCTCTAATATCCACATTAGCTAAATATATTACATCTATTATTTGTTAAGCATATTTGTAGTAAAGTAAATCGTGTTGAGAGCTCTGTTTCTCTTGTTGTCGGTATACCAATTCCATTCCTGAATCAAACATTTGGTTTGGTGGTTTTGTTTTTAGTTTAGTTTAGTTCCCGAAATAATATACATATACATGTATAAATTTATATAGTAAATACATATATAAGACCAATTCGCTTTTCACGGCAGGATTAAATTCATAATATGCTCAAAAAATGACATATTCTTTATAATCTGATCAATCTTTGACGACCTCATTGTTAGTTATATAATAACACACTCATAAAGTTTAAAGATTTCTTCTTTCGATATTTGTTTGTTGTTGCCTAAACTAATTCATTTAATTACTAATATGTTTCATTTCCTTATTTTCCATCAATTTCACTGGTGTTTGTCATATTTTTTGTGTTGGTTTTTCTTTTGGGGTGTTCTCTTCTTTTTTTTTTGTAAAGTTTTTTTTTTTTTTTTGGTTTTTCTGAGGTTGTCAATTTGTTTGGTTGCGTTTTGCTTATTGCATTTAGAGATCTATAAGAGATCTTATAGTCCTGGAATTGCGCAGCTCTGGCTCGTCCTCGTCCTCTTGTCATCAAAGGTCATTGTCGAACATTTGCAGCGAACGCGTTACCAAGTCGTCCTTCAGGCAGGCCTCCAAGAACTCCTCTATCGTTATAATGCCATCCTGATTCAAGTCCAGCTTGCGAAACACACGGTCCACCTGAACACGAACGAAAATACATTATAGTAATTAAGGGTATTTTTTATTTCCTGAAAAAACTTTAATAAACTTCGAAATAAATGGTTTAAGCTTCACTCTTTCCCACTTTCCTCTCTTCAACTTTTCATTGTCTGAAATCCATTTTGCATTTAATCTCGCATTTCAGTTGCCACGACTTTATATTGGTACTTTCGGGAGGGGAAACGTGAAACCTTCATCATTAAGTAAAATATCCGCTGCTGTTTCCGCAGATGAAAGCTTCCGTTTCCCTGCCCCTTAACAATATGCTCTGTGTCAATGCATTTCGATTCGATTCGTCTCTTATGCATTCCAACTGTGTTTCTGTTGCCGTGGGTGTTCACAATTATAATTACGCATACGCAGTGTGAGCCCGACCAACGTCAGCGGATGCTGTGTCGAGTGCGGCTTTTGCATAAAAAATGAAGCATCCAAATCTGTGTCAGTGTAGGTGAGAAATACAAGATTGTGGAAACAAAGCCCAGAACGTGCCGTTCATTCTACATAGATAAACAAGGATTTCGCTTTGCATCTCTGGCCATTTGAATAAAGCAACCGGAGCTTAGTTAAGCTGCTGCAATGTGCAGGATTTGGCTGGCAACAAATATTCTAAACCTGCCTGAAGAAGGATATTGCATAATATAGCAACTACGGGGTTGGAATATAAATAAAACCACCTCAATTTCATAAATGAATTCAAATATTTGCTTAGAATTGAAAAGAGAAAAGCTAAAGTAGATAAATGAGTTATAATCCTGTTCTTTAAAGTAAGATATTCCCCATTTTTTCTCACCTGATCCCTCGCCTTGCGATCATCCTCCGGCTGGTGTGGTCTCCTTCCCATAAGCTCATGAATGGCCAAAATAATTTCACTCAGCTCGCCGCGACTGATTCGGCCATCGCCGTTGAGGTCGTACAACTTGAAGGTCCAACGCAGTCGCTCGTAGACCGAACCGCGCAATAATGTCGACAAGGTGACCAGTAAATCCTAATAAAAGATGAAAATGCATAAATAAGTGTCCACAGAGGAAATTGCGTAAACGTTGTTGTAATAAGAAGTAATTACCCGAAAACTAATGGCGCCATTGCAATTAACATCGAACGCTTTGAACACATAATGAGCGTATAAACTCGAATCTATATAAATAGAACAAGCAAAATGGGGGGCGTGTCAGGGTGATTATTTTTCTTTTTCTGTTCTCTATGGTTGTTTGAGTATTTTTGGGTATTTTGGCATTTGGGGCGCAGCTGTGCTGCAAGGACGAAATGTTCGCTTAAATGGCGCTTTATGACGCGCAACTATAAAAAGGAGAAGCTTAAGACCTCGACGACAGCGTCGAGCTAACACACACACTCTGCCAAAAGGGACATTTATTCGCAAAAACACACACAAATACTTACTGCCATGTGGAAAGAATTTGGCGTAAATATCCTTAAAACAATCCTCGTGCACCACGCCCTCGGGGCATTCCTGCGAAGAAAGGAAAGAAATCGCCATGAAAGTGTTTGCTTGGTTAATAAAGAAAAAGGCAAATTTCATGAAAGTGAGTTTTGCAAAAAGGGCGACAGAGGTTAAACCACGAGGAATCTTGCTTAACTTATGACAGCTTTTGGTTGGAAAAGTATTTACTTATCAGCATTAAGTCTTTGTTGAAATAAATAGTTTGTGGATTAAATTATATTGGAAGTAGGTGGAAGAATAAAAGTTTGATGAATACTTAGTTAATCTACAAAGTCTAAAATCTGAAATGGATTTCAAAGCAGTTTATATTTAAAAGGATATATTTTCAGTAGAAATATTTTTGATGGTAATACTTTCAAAAATACTCTCCAGAATTCTCTTGATTAACTTATTAGTTTAAAACATAAAACAATAAAAACTTTGTCTTGCAGTTTCATAAATCTAAAACTATTATTTTCCTTATTAAGAAAGTTGACAAGTTTAATCAACTGAGTAGTTCAAAACTAAATGCTGTCAGGCTTCTTCAACTATTTGTTGGAAAAACGAGCATAAAGTAAACCATCAGCAGGCAAACGGTCACTGAGACCAACTATCAATGGGGGGGGGCAAACTGTCAATAAGGCAAACTATCGGAAAGAGCCAAACTATACCCGGTTCAGGCTATCCATTTACTTGACCCCGAGCTCAGCTCTTATTGACTGACCCACATATATTGAAACCTTTTTTTTTTTTATCTTGCGCTGAGTTAGCAACTTTTCCGCACTTTGGGTGTAAGTGCTTGGACACACACACTCGACACTCGCCGAGGAGCGAATTCATTTGCAATGAAATTCAAAACGCATGTGCATTAAACTGGCTGCCATTTATGGAGCTCTTTCTTTCGCATCCCAGCTGCCCATCACCCCAGCTGCCCAGCGAGTTGTCATTGTTGGATCATAAATCTGAAAGCTTTATTTTATTGGGATGGGAATGCTGTAAAAAGATTTTAGCCTCGGGTCGAGATGGGCGCATGCTCTTTTTTTCCGCTGAATAGGCAGTTACTTAGAGGATATTAAGGTTTTATGGTTCATATTTTTAGCCTTTAACAAAGTAGCGAGTTTAATTTTTCTCTTTAATTTTGATTCATTACATTTTGCGGGGAAATATGTATAATTTCCAGGACTTTTATTTTCCTTTAATAAGTTAGATAGTTTATCAAGGGAGATAGTCTTTAAACTATAAAATACATAAATACACACAAATTAATTTTTTAAAATATAATACAACATTTCCTACCGTTTTAAATCCTCTGTACATAACGCGGATTTCCTGTTTGGTGAACTTGGTCTGCCGACACAGATCCTCGAGGGCAACGGGTATGGGCTTAGGCACTCGTGTGTGTTCCAACTCATAGACCACCTCCTCGATGGGACTCTCCGGTGGCGAGGCCATGGTTGCTTCTTACTTATTGCTGTCTGGGTTTTCCTCTCTTTAATTAATTTGCGAGCTGATTATGATTTATGTGGCTTAATATCAATTTGCATTTGAGGTGCTCGGTTTTTTAGTGGCAAGAGAACGAACTCATTATGCCTAAAATTCGCTATGAGTATTCAATTTCTTTGTCCCTTTTTTTACGGCTTCTCTTTCCCTCTTTTTTTTATGTTGGCGGCTGAAATCCCTTTCAGCGTATCCTTTTTTTTTTTGTGTGGTTTTCGGTTACGGCTTCCTTTACGCCATTCCGCTAAGTCGCTAATGAGGCAACCATTGCTGTAATGGCACAAAAAGAAATAGTAAGTTTTGAGTAGGTGAAATACACTGAAGGAAAATTTATTAAAATGTAATAATAGTTTAGGTATAGAGATCAAGTCAAAGAAAATTAAGTAAGCAATTGTTTTTTGTGTTTTTAATTGTTTCAAACTATATTTATCATTTTGATTTATTAAATGTAAGCTTGATTTAATATTAATTTTTCCCAAGATTATGTAAATCAGAACTTGGCGCCAGGGCAAGGACACTTGCAGCTGCCGGAAGTTCAACTCGTTGCCGCAGCTACTACCTTTGCACCCACCATCTCTCTCACTCACTCGCTCACTCACTCTTCACGCCATGTACATCGAGTATACGCCTCGTTGGCTGCCAGTGCCTGAGGCGGCACCCGAAGACGGGCGGGCAGGCAACATGCAAATGAAGATTATTATTGCGTACCATAAATCAAAGGCGAATCGAGTTATGTGCACTCTTTGGCGTACTTGCAGCACCTTCGTTGCACCTGGGCTGGCGGGGATTTCGAAAGCTGTTGAGTTGCGAGGAGCAGGGGCGCCGAATGGCTGCTGCCCAGATGAAATTAATGAGCACTTTGCATGCAAATGAATTGAATGCCAGATCGTTCTAGCTAAGTGTTTGTTTTTCAGCACATTGGAAAATTTGCTAAGAAAAAATTAGTTGTACTTGGAAGTTGAAGATGATATTGAAGGATTATGGAAAGAAACTTTGTATTCCTGAAGCTTAAAATATAAAATTACTATTGGAATTAGCTTAAACTAAAAGTGAAGTTTATCTAAAGAGCTTTTTGGAATTATGTAGATTTATTAAAGTAAACATTTAAGAAACATTCTTAGAAATCTTTTCAGAGAATTTTATTGATTATATAGGTTTTAAATTAATAAATAAAAGTAAAATGAAATATCGTGCTTTATGTTAAAGCTTTAACCTTAGGAGCTCCCTTAGTGCTGTTCCCTCTTTTGCCCCAATATCAATCTTCGACGACATTCATGGCTACTCTCTCATTCATCATAATGAAACCAATCCGTAAATCAAATCCCATAAATCCACAAATTGAATTTCTTTGGCAATGACTCGCTTGCAGCAGCTCAAATCGAATCTTCTTAAGATTGCTACCGTTTTTTACTCTGACAAATTTCAACAGCACTTCAATATTTATCAGCGAAAAGTCAAAAAGTCTGCGTGATTGTGTGTGTGTGTGTGTGTGTTGGTACTCCTGACTATTTCCACTCTATTTCCATTTCGCATTTCCATTCTATTTGCTCCCACACACACACACACACAGAGTCAGCCATTTTGTTAGCTTAGGAGGAGGCAGAAAATGGAGATGGGCGGAAGGGATCTCCATTTCCGACGTCACGGTTATTTTTCAGTTGGAATTGATTAAGCGACAGATGGACCAAAATGGGGTCAGTACGAAACGGAAATAGCTTTGACAGTTTTAATCCAAGCAAAAGTATTTATATTCTTTTTTCGCAGCTCTCAAAACACCATTTCCCATTCTGTTTCCTTTTATATTTTTTTTGTTTTTTGCCAAAAACCTTGTTTGTTATACACTTTGGTCTACTGACAAATTGCTGCATTAATTTTTGGTTTGTCAAAAATGAGAAAAACAAGCAGAGAAGCGTGCCTTGAAGATACTCTTAAATTCTGGGTTTTGTTTTTTTATTATAAAATAATAGAAATCATGAATAATACTACTATGAATACTGCTAACTTTAGGTTTGTTTTATTTTTATATATTTATTTAATTTGAATATTTCAAACAAAAGCAACTTTCTGCTTAAAATTCCCCCAAGAACTTCCAACTTCAACCGGAGAAAACTTAATTTCCCCGAAGCTTTACTTGTAGACTCTTCCAACCCTTTCACTTTGAATATATAAATAATTTATAAATCGCCAAAGTAAGTCTTAAATATTTATACATTTTCCGCCAAAGTCAAACTCTGAGTGGAATCAATAACTTTAACCCATGGCCATGAAGCCATGAAAATGTGCTGAGTACTGGGGCCTTAAAGCCACAAGCAACTGCTAAATGTTGCCTGCCATTAGCATAAATAGTATTAAAAGCAAAGAGGGCCATAAAACAGACTACAATGTCATACTTAGCTGCTCGAGCAGTGTGCAACCAACTAATTTCATGACTCTGTTCTGCACAAATCTCTGTGGCCCACAAGATAGGGCTTGATGGTGGGAAAAGTGCTGGGAAAGTAGGGGGGAACGAAAAGCGTGCAACTGCCTGCATTTTACAGCATTTGAAAGCCATGTTGTTGTAACGACTTTTTGCATGGTCAGGCTTTTCTTTTGTGCACTTGGAAAATAAGGTTTATTTTATTTAAGGCAATTATAAATTTTTTGTTTTATTAAAGAAGGAAATGTAGTTACCATTAACCTACACTTAATTATCTTCTTATTATTATATTTTTTATAATTTCTCAAGATCTTCCGACTTTAAACGTTGCACTGGAATCATTTACCAAAACTCAATTTTGCCTGGACATTTCCCTTAATGTAGACTTCGTTTTTAACACTTCCTTCCCACACCCACATACGCACACCCTCGCACTCCCATTTAACTTTCAAATGCAGTTTTGGCGCGGCCTTTGTGTGTGTGTCTGTGCGTGGGTGCGCTTGTGTGCTTGGGCATGTAAAATGTTTGTCAAATATCACGTATACGACATGTGCTTCCGGCGGGGAGCGCACGAACACCCTCGAATAGCCAGCCAACCGACCGGGTCGAGTCAGTTGGATAGAGGGTCGGCGTGAAGTCGAACCCATTCATTGCCAGGGCAAAGCTAATTAAATATTAAACCAGGTCAGAGAGGGTAAACGTTATAATGCGAAAAGCCATATTAGCCAATTGCCGAATGCCAGGCACTCGATGCTAACAAAATATTTCAACACACACATGCACACAGCACTTAAGGCGAGTGAGAATGGCAAGAGGATACTTGGGTTTGTGGATATGCAAATTTTCTTGCCAAGAACTGTATGTTTATTCATTTGTCTAATTGTGTTGTTCTTGCCGCTGCCGAAAGGGGGAAATCGGCGGGGGTTTCGGCGGGCTCTTTGGGTCCTGGTGTGCGGCATGTCAGGACTCGAACTTATAAATGGGAACGACAACGACAAAAGTAGCAACGGCAACGGCAGCAGGAGCAGCAGCAGCCTCGGCAAGGACAAGGCTTGGCCTGGCCAGAACCGGTGCTTGCATGCAGTCATGCAATGCTACTCGAATGGGAAGAAAAAGCAAAAACTAAAACTAAAACTAAACAAGAACGCACGCCAGACCCTCCTCCCACACTCTTTGCTGCTAACTGAAATTGTCAACAGTGGTTTGTGGACACAAACAAAATAATATTTGACAATGCGAAGCTGTCTTTGAGGGTTTATTTATTTATTTATTTGTATATAAAGTTAAATTAGGGTTTTGAGCTCAAGGATTCCTGATGAAATGCAGTGGAGAAAATAACAATTAAAATGTGTTATTTGGAAAATAATATAATTTTACATATAAAGAAACGTATATACAAATAATTTAAGGTATATAAAATCAAATTTTTAGCCTATTTAATCTACAAAGTATACTTAATATTTTCCTTACGATACCACTGTACTGGTTTCATGTCACTGAGCCTGTGCCATTGTCATTTCCTACTGTTTTCATGCCACTTTCATGGACAACTCAGACAGACTGGCACAATGTGGAGAGTAGTAGGAGTGCCAAGCTCGAAAGGCAACGAAACTGGGCTGTCCCCGGCTATATCTAAATAGGGACTTCCCCGCAGATCCAGCACGCAACCGCAAAGGACACAGTTCCACTTCAATTTCGAGAGTATTATTAAATTGCAGATATGTCTGTGGCATATCCCTCGCTTTGTATATATAATTTTTCTGTTTTTTTGGGACCATTGCCACCGTGAGCATAATTGAATTTCTTTTTTAGCCAAGGCTTTTGTTGGCAATCCGCCCACCAAATCTTGGTTTCGTCTACCAAAGACAATAAATCAACGCCAATTATGGCCACTTTTTGTTGGCTTTCTGCGGTTCCCCCGCCAAGGCAAGCGATGACGACACATAACGTAAAGCTTTCAACACTTTTCAATCCGAAAATCAGGCCACAGAGCCTGTGAATGGGAAAATAATGAACACGCCACCGAATCTCGTGAGGAATCCTGCGGCGGATATCCGATCAGAGCTGCCAAATGGAAATGCATTTGCATTGTGATTAGCCGAGATATCGTTGTGTGCAATGTTGACAAGAGTCTTGTGGGGATTCGAGATAATGGACGGATGTTTGTCCTCCAGTGGATAGGCTCACAGACATTAGTATACAGGACAGACACACGTACACTTACGGCTGATGGCGTGCAATTCGATATATGTATAAACATTATAATTGCCATAACCTTAGACTGCTTTTAGTTATGACACAAAATATTTTAAAACAAACATTAATGATAAATGGGGAATTAAATGTTTGATGGGAGCCAGTGACATTTTGATGCATAAACTAATTGCTGGGCAGTAAATGGGGAATGAATTACAGATTTTATTGAGGTTTAAATGCTACAAGTGAAATTTGGCAGCATTTAATGTTCACCGAGGGACTTTAATTGTGTAAATTTATATGGGTTCAGGGGTTTATTTTGCTGTAAAATAATTTTTATGTAAAGATTTGTATTACATTTTGTATAATTTGGTACTCTAAGGGTCCTGCTTATATATATTATACTTTAGTTTAGTTTAATTAACATATATATTCTCACATTTTCAACCATTTCCTGCTCATATCTCACCACATATATGATGCATTATCTTTACAAAAGTGACAGCATGACGCA